CCAAAGAAGATACCGCTGTTGCGGCAAAAAGAAACAAGAAAATATCACGCACAAAACGCACAGAAATAAATTTATGCATAAAATTCTATCGACGAAGTCCGTGTGTGTCATATAGAGATAATGCATACGGTACACTCTTGTCCATGTGAGATGAGGAATCAACAGGAGAGCAAGAATGACAAATAAAAAAAGGATTAAAAAGGGTTAACAAGCCAACTGCCCCCACAATGTGTGCACATTTCAACGCCATGTTCGTGCTACAGTTCGCCTGCCACTCCATGAGCCCATTTCTCGATTTTTCTTGCATTTCCGTTTGCCTTTCCTACAGATTTTTTTTTCCTGTCTTCCCGTCGCTGCTTATTTGGTACGCCTCCTTTCTTCCATTTTTTTTTTTCCTCCTTCTTTCTGCCCCTCGCAGTGTTTCTGTTTGTGAGCTCTCTTTTCAAGCTGAGTCGCACAGAATGTTTCGCTCTACGACAATCAATAATTCCCGTGGATTTCCACTCAACATCCTTCCGCCCAATCATCCTTTTCCTGCTCCTGCTGTTGTGTGTGCGTGTGTCTGTCTGTCTGTCTGCGTGCCTGTTTTTCTGTCACCCTCACGCATGCATGCCGACGAGAAAAGAGGTGGCAGCATTCACTTACCTTCGCCTACGGCGGGGGGCGGTGCCTCCTCCCGCTGCGACTCAGCCATTTGCTGTGACTTGAACACTTTATTTTTGGCTCTCCCCCTCCGCGGAGCCCCTTTTCCGCCCTTCAGTCCTATTTTTTTTCTCCGTCACAATCGAGGCGCAGAGCGTCCTCGTCGCCGTGTCCCCGCAAACGTGGATGAGTGCAAAAAAAGTGATATTCGCCCTCCTCCTCCTCCTCCTCTTCTTCCTTCTCCTCTTCGCTCTCATCCTACCTCCCCCAGCGCAGCGGAGCCATTTTTTTTTTTCCAATTCTTTTCTCTTCTCCTCCCCTCAGGACTCCGTCGTCTGGGAAACAAAAAAAAAAAAAAAAAGAAACTGTCTTCCCCCACCCCTTTATTTTCTTTTCTTCACTTACACATCAGCCCCCCATTTATTTATTTTTTTCCCTCCTTTGGTCAGTCTTGTGAGGGACTGACTAAAGGACTCCACTACCTGTGTGTGTTGTTTTTTTTTTCTGTTTTCAGTCCTCCTCATAATATATTTTTAATTTTAACTTTTTTTTCTCCTTTTCACGTCCCCTATCCTCGGTTTTCACCAAATTTGTCTCTTTTTATTGTTTTTCTCCGGGATTATTTATCGCATCATTTACTTTTCTCCCCCCTAGCACCTCGCCGCCAGTCACAGTCGTGCATGCATTTTCCTCCTTCCGTTTTTTTTTCTTCTTCGTTTACTGCCCACCACGCACGGAGGTGCCTCACTACTAAATTCCCTCATTCCCATAGAGCCGAGTGGGGCGCAGAAGATGCATCGCCGTGCGTACCGAACTTGACTGCGGTCAAAACAAACAATTTAAAAGAAAAGAAAAAAAGGCGTTTTTTTCTTGTTTTTGTTGTTACACAGAAGCCCAGGCAAATACGTGTCTCTTTTTTTTTTTTCCCCGAGCTTTCTTAGAATATCTAAATTATTTTTTTTCCTATTACACCTCTTCACACCACCTGTTTTCTTCACGGATCTTCTCCTCTTCCTCAGGGGTGAAATCGCTCTCAATGTTAAACAGGGCGCGGATCTGCTCCGCCGTCTTTCCGCGAATCATGCTGGCGACGCATGCACACGTAAGATCTAGCAGGTCCTTTACATTAAGGAAGTTCGCCGCCATGATGACGTCAATAAGCACCTCATGTTGCTTCTCGTCATGGTCCTTGACAAGGTGCGTGTACAGGAAGTCACGATCCCATGGAGAAATAATGGTGTCAATCTTTGACTTGAGCGGTTTCTCGATGGGCTCGGCGCGGTTCTGATAGTGATGCTCCATGTATTCCACCACCAGTCGCAGTGTGCGTCCAGAGACATTTGGTATGGGAATGATCGGCTCCATGTCCCCTTGATCGTCAAGCATGTCCTTTAGCAGACCAGACATCATCGCCGCCTCCCGAAGGACCTTAAACTCTACCGGCGGCTGATCATTACTTTGCAGCACACAATACTTGGTGAAGTCTACTTCCTGCGAATCGAATTCCTCTGGCATTTTTATTTTTATTTTTATTATTTGGAATTCCTCACGCCTGCAAGAGCGTTTCCCGCCTTATTTTATCCTTCGCCCCCCCGGACCTCCCCTTGCGATCGGCGTTATATATTCCTTAGGTAGCTCGGCTTCCCGTAAGCTACTGCGTTACGTTCCAACGAGCAACAACAACAACAATAAAAAATAAAAAAAAGGTACAAGAAATAAAGAAGTGAGTCCTTTGGAATACCACCGCAGTACCTCCGTGTATACGACGCAAGTATTTTCATCCATCCATACCGTGAGAGAGAGAGAGAGAGGGAAAAAAAACTGCACGGACGTAATTAACATTCGCGCATGGATGGTCGTCACCCCTAAACAACTCCAGCAGAATAATTACTTCCCTCATGAATCAACACAACCGCGGCAGAAGAAAAAAAAAAAAAACTCAAATATTAAACGAAATGAAACAAGCCGTCGCGCAGCATCACCACCGATAAGCGGTTCCCTCAAGTGCACAGCAACTAATCATCGCCAGAAAACAGCGACACATCCAAAAAAAACGCAGATATAAAAAAAACACAAACAAAAGAAAAAAAAAATTGAAAGCGAAAAAAAGTAAAACAACAACAACAACAATTTTCTAAGTAGAAAGAAATGGCACTGCTCTTTTTAAGCGTCCGGCACAACCCCATGAGAAGCACTCGCCGTCTGCTCCAAAACTTCTTGTTGGTAGGTGCGCAGCAGGACCTTACTCTTCACGCCAATACATTCCTTGCACTTATATCCATTCTTGCGACGGACCATCTCGCGATCAAAGCGTCCACACACGACACAATAAATTTGTGGTGTATTTGTTTGCAGTTGTAGCTGGTGGCTCTGCAACAAATCGGTATCCACCTTCACAGCCTCGCTGGCCTCCTCGTACCGCGTGCGGCGCATGATGACATCCGTGTCGGCAAAGTTCATGTCACGGTTTCGCTCCTCTCTGTCACTGTCATCATCATAATGCAGTAAGCCGTCCGCCCGCACACCGTAGTCTGAGGCAATGGCGTGGTGCACCAGTTCCTCAAGCGTTGGGTCACGGCCATATGCCACCACCGCCTCAACAAACCCATCATCCGCTTCAGGCACGGCTGCTGCGCCTCCACCTCGCTTTTTCGAGCCATTTCCCCGCTCATTCTCATTGGCGTAATCGTCCTCCGTGTTCTCTTGATCAACAAGCTTTCCACGTCGATAAAAGATTGTGGCGATGGTGTCTTCAATCACATCATTAATGCTTAGGGCGGTATCAATGTTGCTTCGAATGTTGTTATTATTCTCGTCCTTCATGTACATAGGAACTGCAGCCATTTCCTCATCAAGTTTACTGCGGCCAAAGGCAGCGCGGTGCAACAAAGCGACAGGTAGCGTCTCAAAACACATGAGCAGATCCTCAATGGCTGCACTGACATTTTCCCGCTCGTGCTCAGTCTCACCTGTGTAAAGCAATTGCACTTTCAGCAACATATTTACCATCACGCTCTGCCAAAAGCTAAAAAAGATGATTGTCTTAATACATAAAAACTTAAGAAAGGGCTTTGCATAGTGCAGCTCCTTCTCAAGTTCCACCTCAAATAAAACCAGATAATAAAGCGAAACCGTAAGACTAAAGTTCATGATAATGGAAAGGTAGGTGTAGGCGTTGTTCAAGGTAAACTTGCCCACAACGTAAACTCCCAGTGGATTCAAAAGCATCGCGAGAAAGGAGCACAATGGTTTGATTAGAGCACATTGCAACACCCAGCGCTTGCATCGAAGATAAAATGCCGTATCTAATGGATATGTAGGCAACCAACAAAAAGGAAACAAGTGAACCCCCTTGTAACGCTTTGCCTTTAAAGACCGCAGTAGTTGGCCCTCACCGCCGCAGTATTTCAGCAATAATATAAAAAACATGTAAAGCACAAAACTCTCGTATGTGTCACGAATTGTTTCAAGAAAGAAGCGCATATCCAGAAGCACCAAAGACAACAAAGAGAAAAGACCATAGATGGGAATCATAGCAATGATGCGAAGCACCAAAACCTGCAGCTGAGGATAATCAAACCGAGCCAGGTGATCACGTAGGTCAGCAAATGAGATGATGCAGGCAATGGCAACACATACGCCTGCTGCGTATGTAAGATTGGGATTCAAAGCCCATGTCATGTCAAGTCCTCTAATTTTCCCCGCCGAAGAGTTCTCGCCATCGGTGTGTGGCGTCTGTTCGCTCGCCATTCGCAAGAAAAAAAAAAACTATTTCCAGTTTCGACGTGTACGTCTATTACTTACGCCCACCTACGCAATCCACCTTGTTGCCTCCCTCTCTCACTACCACCGAAGCAAATCAATAACACAAACACACACACACACACAAAAAAAAAAAAAAAAAGAAGAGGGGAAGCTGTAACAGCAGCAGAATTTCCGGTACCAATGGCATGTCTCCTTTAAGGAGCACAGAAAGAGAACTGGGGTGGGTGGGGGAGGTGCAATTTGACACGGAGTCCACTCTAGTGGAAAGAAAAATAAAATTTTTTTCTGCACCACAAAAGTGGAAACTGCAGTCAGACAGAAAAATGAAAAAAAAAAGAAATCAAACAAAAAAAAGGAAGTACAAGCCAAGAAACACAGCGTTTAATAGAAGAAACCGAGAACCTTTCCACCAGTGTTGCGGGCACGGGCTTCCTCGTGATCCATGATGCCAAGGGAAGTCGTGAGCACCACAAAGCCAAACTGACGGCTGGGAAGAATGTTCTTCACCCACTTTTCGAAGTCAGGGGTGGTGCAGTCAAAGCGGGGGCAGATGGCGCCGCACTTGTTGAGGCGGCCGTTGAGATTCACCACAATTTTACCCGCGCGGTGATCGTCGATAATCTCAAACTCGCCAATGTAACCGTGCTTCTGCATCACCTGCAAAAACTTCACGACGACCTTGGAGGATGGGCGAATAAGAACCTGACGCTTGCCACGGCGCTCCGCGCTCGCAATACAGCGAAGCGCGTTGGCCAACACGCTCATCATCGTCATTTTCTCTTTGGCAGGCTTTGTTCCTTGGCTGGCCGTTGGCAACATGGAGTTCGAGCGTAAAAAGAAAACGGAAGAAAATAGAGAGAGGGGGAGAGGAGGAGCAAAAAGATACCAGAAAGTCCCCGGCGCAAAAAAGTAACAGAATAAGAAAATAGAAAAAGGCGTTTCTCCCATGAACAAAAAGAAGAGCGCCTTTTTGTTGTTGTTTCAATACCAAAAATATATATATATAGAAAAAAAAAAGATGAAGACAAATCATATTCCCAATGGTCCTCCTCCAGTCACCACCACTGCTCCCCACTCCCTCCCATACACGGAAAATGTTTCTCATCTACGGCCATTTCGCTGCTTCGCCCGCCGCTGAGGATTTAGCCGCAATCCCGACTGCACGTAATGGCCCTCCGCCAGTGCGTCAAGCCCGTGCACGACATCCGGTGACACCTGCCGTTGAGTCGAGTCCTCACGATGCCTCCGGGCAAATTCCACCTTTGTACCACGTAACACCTCTGTGGTGTGCCGCCCTGTCCATACAAACCACATGGTGCGAAAGTGCGAGTGGTCTTTTCCCACACCTTTCGGATGACTAAAATCGTACCGGCCGCGAGGAACTAAATAAAACGGCTCTGTTCCTATGGGAATTGTTTCCTCATTGTCACACTTATTGTCCTCCTTCTGCTTCTTGTTTTTGGTGTCATCAAGTGCAATCTCCGCACTTGCTGTTTGCTCCATCTTGAGAAAGGGCGGTGGTTGCAGTAATGCGGCAGGAAGCTTCGGTCGTGTGTGCCGCGACGCGTTTATATCGCCTTTGCCAGAGGACGGCACAGGTGTGAAATGCCGCCTCACTGCGGTCCTGTACCAATCCTTCGTGGCTGTGTAGTCGGGCACCAAAAAGGCAAAGGGTTTCTTCCTTGCCACCAAATAGTTAAACAGTCGTTCAATGTGATCGCCGCTGAACGGGGGGTTCGTGACGAGCATGTCGTAATCATCCGGATCATCCCCCTCCGCAATGTCTTTGTAAAAGTCACGATTCGCGTGTATGACGCGTTGCACCCCCAGTGTGTTCCAGTACCGCACAACGGTGCCGGCGCAGTAGTAGGGATCGTACACGACGAAGTTCTCTGGAGCTGATGGTCGCAGCAGCAGCAGCAGCTGGTCGACAACAACGGCGATGTCGCGGAGAGCCTCCAGTGAAGTTTCGAAGTGATCGTTAAATTCCGCCCTAAATGGATGCAAAAGACGCCCCACCGCAAATTCGGCGTCATGACCCGTCCGTGACCTCAAATGCGCAGCCCGCTCCCGCAACGGCGTCCCCCCATCAAAGTCATCACGTCGGCGTCGACGACCGGCCATCCCACGCGTTCCTCACCAAAAACACAACAAAGAACGAAATTCCACAAGTCCCCACAACAAAAACAGCGGAGTCGCGCCATGGAAGTATAAACGCAGAGAAAAAAAAAATAAAAATAAAAAAAGAATTGAAATAAAAAAAGAGGAAAAACGGCATCGGCCAAAGTCCACGACAGCAACAAATACCATGACTCTATTCAGCCCAATCTTCTCACCCATCATACATCAAACAACAAATAGAACAAAGATCAACAATGTAAAACCACGGTTAAGCTCCATCGATACCCAACATCCAAACAAAATTCAACAGCACCATCGCCACAAAGGAAAACCCACTTTTATCTCTTGCCGCATTCAAAGCCTTCTTGCCCTTCTTCTCTTTTCCTTCCGTTGTTGTTGTTTTCGGTTTTTTTATCGCTTCCCCGCCCCTTCTTTTCTTGCACTCCTTAGTGCTTCCTCGTTGATTTGGAAAGATCCTCGTCCACGTCAAATGAGACGTCATCGTAGTCTTCCACTCTCTCAAATTTCTTCTTGCTTCTTTCCTCCCAAAGCGCCTGTCGATCCTTCTCACGTCGCAATTTTTCCTCCTTCGACAAAAACAACCGCTCCACCATTGACAGTCCTTTCACCTCCGCGATAATTTGTGACTTGGCGGCCTGCGGAGGATCCGGAAACTGAAAGAATTCACGGAAAGGCTGCCAACGCAGCAGCAGCGGCTGCAGCAGTCCCGCAGTCGACAGACCAATCCAGTAGGCAAACATAGCAGAGGGCTGTGACGCAAACACGTAGACGCCTACAAGAGACGCGGCCCGCACAGCCCAACGAATGTAAATACCGGAGGAGCTTCGTCCACCACGCTGCATTTGCTGGTTTAACTCAAAGTTCACTAAAAACATGCCCGCACAAATAAGCGGCAACCCGTATGTGGGGTCCGGCATTGTCAAATCCTTCACCCACAGAAACGGTGCCATCTCCAGGTCCGACTCATACACTGCTAGGCGACGAATAGAAAAAAAGGCTGACATTGTAATAGGGGCAGTCAGCATTGTAAAAAAGCTCTTCCACTGCGCACATCCATGTTTTTTCATCAGCGCATACTTCATTCGATTGTAACCATCTTTAATCACACGTTTCTCTGCAGTACTAAGTGTGCGATCATTCTTGACACGGTTTTGGTTGTTGGTTATCTCCGAAATCTGAGGGCCAATGTAACTCATCCGTAGCGCGTTTCGGTGGCTGTAAAGGGAGGGCACAAGGGTGCACAGTCGCATGACGATACCGTAGAAAAAAAACACATTACCCCAGGTCCCAAAATCAAACCCAAGGAAACCGCTATGCCGCAGGCTGCGCATAACCTCCAACTGCTTCTCCACTGGCTGCATGAAGCTCACAATCCAATCCCAAAAGTCCTCGAGTCGCTCAAAAACGCTTTTCTCTGGGCGAATAAAGTCATCCACTTCCTGCGGCTGCTGCGCAAAGACATCAGGCAATTCGTCCTCGATTTGGCGGTGTGACTCTCTTCCCACGGGGGAGTTTCCCACCCAATTCGCCGGGTTCCAACTAATGCAACGCACACTCACCAATATCGTCTCGGTGCCAAAACGGCGACCGCCAAAACCACCAAAAAAGGTCAAGGGGGAGGCGGCTGCGGCGCTCGTCTTTGCTCCTGTTGTCCCGCAAAGAGGAGCGACATGATGAAGTGCCGCCCTGCGCACGACGGCATGGAATGACATCACTCACCAAAAAAAAAAAGCGCCTTTATAAAAAAAGAAGAAAAAAAAGCAAGAAACCGGAATTACTCCCTGCAGCAAAGCAAAGTGAAAAAAGACCACGAGAAAAACGGAAGCCTCCACACACACACAAATATATATAACGCACCTAAGAATACCAGTTTAACTTCCGTCTCAAACATCAATCGTGTGAGCATTTTAAAAAAATTATGTTTATATATATAGATAGATAGATAGATAGTTCCTTATCGGGTAATAATAATAATAATAATAATAATAACAAAATATAGGAAAAGAGAGAAAAAAAAGGAAATGGGGAGAAAGAATACCTTACCTTCCTCCAGCCCCCATCGTCATCCCTCCCTCCAGGTCCCTAGAAATTTTCTAGCCCTTTACGCCTTGCCGGATTTTGCAAGGGACTCCTTTGTCGACTCGTAAAGTTTCATTACCAGACCAATGGCAATGGTTTTTCCGTCTTCGCGCAACATAAACCGTCCCATCTTATCAAATACCTTGTGCGCCTCCAATACCAGAGAACGTTCCAGCTCCATACGTGCAATCACCACATCACCAGCCTTTGCGTGTGTGGGCTCCTTTTCCAACACATCTCCCGTCTTTTTGTCGACTTTTGCCAGAAGCTTGTGGAAAGAAACCTCTTCCTGGGCGGCATGAGCATGCAGCATGACACGTGAGCCGGCGCAAATTATATTCTTGACGTCGAGAATCACCACACGAGCCTGAAAATACTCCACTGCAGAAAGTGTCGTTGGAATAGACGTGGCAACATAGCCTGCATGGATGTCACTCTCGTCCACGCCACGCATCCGCAGATGTACATTGTCGCCAGGATAACACTTCTCAAACTCCGTCGACTCAATAGAGATACCCTCGACAAATGCCTCCAACTTAGTAGGTAGAATTTGAAGTCTCTCTCCCAAAGCAATGGAGCCAGACTCCACCTTTCCATAGATAAATACACGTCCATCGTCTTTATAAGAACCGACTATGGGGATGCAAAGCACATCATTCTCACTTTTTGTCTCTGGTAAAACAAGATTGTCAATGAAACCCATCATTGTAGGCCCTTTATACCATGGGCAGACGTCGTCTGAGGAATGATGGATGAGGTTGTCACCTGTCAGGCCGGCAATTGGAATAAAGCAAAGATTTTTTGCCTTTTCTTCGTCATAGCCGTTCTGTCGAAGAAAAGGCTTCAGTTTCCCAACAATCTCATCGTATCGACCCTTGTCCCACCCGCATTCATCCATTTTGTTGATAACACAAATCATTTGCTTCACCCCACATGTGCGCACTAGCATCGCATGCTCCCGTGTCTGGCCACCCTTCTCAAAACCCGTCTCAAATTCACCTTTACGACTGGAAATGACAAGAACGCAAATATCCGCTTGCGTCGCTCCACCAATCATAGATGGCACAAAAGCCTTGTGGCCTGGTGCATCAAGAATTGTTACACGACGCTTCTCTGTCTCAATATAGGCTGCACCCGTCTCCCGGGTAATACCTTTTGTCCGCTCATCCTCGGAGACATCCATGACATATGCGTATTCCCAACCCTCACGGTGGTGTACTTCGGCTTCGCGGCGCAGCTTCTCCATCTCGCGCTGATCTACCAAACCCTTTTCCATTAGCAGATGGCCGGAGATGGTAGACTTCCCAGCGTCCACGTGCCCGCAGAACACAATATTAAAATGAGGACGCGGATCTCGAACAAACTCTTTTTTATTTTGTTCACGTTGCTTCGCTATCTCCCGTTTCACATATTCACGAAAATCCTCTGTTGACATCTTAGAATTTGATGGAGTGCCATCCCTTTTTTCATCCGACATCGTTACCGCGGCAGAAGTTCCCTTTTTGCTCTCCTCAGCAGCCTTGGTGTCCTCATTTTTTTTTTTATCATCCTCCGTCTTTTTCTTTCCAAGAGAAAGAGTCCCAGCCTTCCCTTTTTTCGGCACGACAACGGGCTCCGAAGCCGCGCCACCAAGAGACAGCTTTCCTGACTCCACTGCAGAAACTTTTTGCTGGTCTTGTTGCTTTTGTTGAGCGGTATTTCCAATATTATCAACCGGTGGCTGAGAAGCATGGCCGCCGGAATGGCCACCATATTCACCTTTTGGTTGTTGGTGCTGTTGCTGGGTTGGGTAATAACCACCACTGTAGCCACCAACCGGTGGTTGTTGGTGCTGCTGCTGGGGTGGATAATAAGCGCCACTGTAGCCACCAAATTGTGGTTGTTGAAACTGCTGGGGTGGGTAATAAGCACCACTGTAGCCACCATAGCCCCCGCGACCCTGTTGACCACCATATCCACCTCCCTGTGGTTGTTGCTGTTGGGGTGGGTAGTAGCCCTGTTGACCCTGTGGGTTGTAGGCATTCGCGTTGGGGTTGAATCCGCCTGGTTGAGCCCAGCCAGACATGTCCGTTCTTACTCTCTTGCAGTAGACTTACTAAAGCAAAGTGATAAAAAACAAAATAACAATAAATAAAATAAAAAAATTGGGTAAAAAACAAAAGCAAAAAAAAAAAGACGGGAGCGAAGCACGTGAGATGCGGCCACCGCTCAAAGCAAACACGTCATTATAATTAATACCATCCGGTGTCCGTTATTGCTGCACGGTTGTCTTTCATCCAATTGGTTGGATTTGAGTCTTTTTTTATTTCTTTTGTTTTCTTTTCCCCTCCCCCTAGAAGAGAGGATAATGATGCATTGCCGCTCATTACAGAGAGTGAGACAAAAAAAAAGAGTACAAAAAAAAAAAACGGCTACAATAAACAAGGGCGGGGAATACCTCCTCTCATTACCGTTCTTCGCGGAGAAGCGCACATAAAAGCAATAAGTGAGGGAAATAACAAACCACCGTGATCACAAGCCGTAGCATGAGAAAGTGGAAGTTGTTAATTAGGTACCCCATCGTTGTTCGACAAAAATTTAAGATTCAGAAATGGTTGTACCACATCGAAATGAGCATCGGAAAGTTGCCGCCAGGCATTCTTCGCAAGAGGTGTTCCCATCAAATTCACATAGTTGGAAACCAGGAAAACGACGTCCGGCGAAAGTGCACCTCGCTGAAGCAACTTGAACAACTCTAATGCCGCTTTTGAAATCACCAACCGACGTTGAGCATTGCTAACTTGCTGAACATCGGCGCACAGTTTCTGCGCAAGTGCGTGGTAGGAAGGGTTAAGTGAAGTGATGTCAAAATGCGACAAATCGGCATCATCAACAGTGCTGGAAGCAGTAAATGGCACGCTACCTGGAACACGGGAGGCCATCGCAGAAGGGACCGCACTGCTACCATACGGAGACGGCATAGAAGACTTATTTGCGTTCGGTTGTAGTCCATAGGTAGAAGGCGTCACGGCAGCTTTCGGAGGCCAAGACATATTATTCTGATGCAACACCTTGTTTTCTAACGGCGTCAGAGACGCCTGGTAAGTTGCATTCCCAATACCATAAGAATTTGTCAATGAGCCACCCATTGAATCCTCTCTGGTCGTCACACCAAAGGGCGGATTGCCAGGAACTGGCATCATAGGTCTTATTGGCGGAGGCGCCGTCACTGAAGCAGCTGCGTTCGTAGATGGTGCTAATGGTACCGTCGATGCGGAGGGATTCCCATAAAGCGATGAGATGGCTCCTTGGGAATTTATATTGCCGACTGATGTATCGTCATTCACCCCTGAAGAATACGTGCTGGCGTTTGCAGACACACGCGGAAGAGGGTGAGAAGATCCGACAAATCCTCCAGCTTGTTGGGGGGGGACTACTGGTGCGCCAGGATGTGGAGGTGGAGGGGGCGGCGGTGCAACACCGGTTCCTTGTGACGACATAGGTTGCTGCATTTGCTGAATTCCAGCGAGTTGAGTGGGCCGTGCTAATGCTTGTCCCCCGGGCACGGAAGCTCCTCGTAAACCAGAGGGCAGAGGTGGTGGCGGCAATGGTCTGCTGGGATCAACATAGTTTTGCTGTGGTGCGGCATAACCGCCTTGTGGTGCAAACTGTGGTTGCTGGCGAGGTGGTGCCGATGGCATGCCATTGCTGTACCCAGCAGAAGCCATCGCCAGTGGGGATCCGGAAGACACAGGAGCACCTTGCTTCATTGACGAATACGAGGAAATGGGGTGAGGCATAAGTCGAGGTTGGGGAGCTGCCTCGGTTGGGCCTTGGGGCATTGTAGCTCCAACCGAACGAGTCGCCGTAATACCCTGCGATTGTGGTTGTTGTTGTTGTTGTAAATAAAAATTTGGAGATTGCATGGGTTGTTGTTGCTGTTGCGGCAACGAAGGCGGCAGCTGTTGTTGTTGTTGTTGCTGGTGGTGGTGCCCGGGCATTGGTGGTTGCTGCAATGGCTTTGGAGGCTGTTGATATTGACCAGGCATGGGAAATCGTTGTTGTGATTGTGGCTGCTGTTGTTGTTGTGGCTGTGGCTGTGGCTGTGCCCGCAACTGCTGTTGCTGTTGTGTTATGAAGGTTGCACATGACGGGCTCGGAGAGTCCGAAAGCGGCATCATGGCGAAGGGAAACACAACTTGTCCGACAGGCACATGAAACTTCAGGCGGTCAACCATAACTGCCGCGCTGTGATTGCCAATGCTCGCCGAGCGTTGCAGAATCGGCACCCCTTCCGTCAACACCCCCTCCCCCACAAGTTTCATGCCATATTCGTACAGGCAATCGGAAAAAAAAGCCGAAGTCACACGTCGTCCCGTGACCTCCTCAAGAAGAAGAGCATCACGCATTATTCGCCCCAGAGATGTGTTATCCTCACGCCAGAGCTGCATCACGGCATCCACATTACCACTGCAGACAAAACACGTCATGGCCCCCTCCCTGTTGCCCTTCTTCTTCAACGCCTCCCCCAACCTATCACACGCATCTGAGAAGCCATCGCCCACAAACGAAATGATCACAGAAAGTGCTTCCTTCCAAGGCACATTTTCGGATTCTGTTAATGAGCCAAAGTCCCCCGAAGCGATCGCTGCCGCATACACCACATGTCTTTTTTGACGGGACTGAGTCAAGGTGTAATGCGCGTACTCCTGCTGAACTCGCTGAAGCAACGTCCCGCCCTGGAGGTAGGCAATCACAAAGGCATCGTCAAAACGGCAACTGTCAAGGCACACTTCCACCGCCTCACGTATGCGACCTGCCGCAATGTGAGCAGCTGCAACATCTTCAAACGATTTCTGCGATGCCTCCATGGTTTCAAACGGGTCTTCTCCCTCATCGTGAGTTGACGTCTCTTCATTGAGGTAGGCAAGAATGGGAGTGCGGTCATCTTTGCAAGCCGCTGCGGCCGCCAGTAGACTGTAATTTTGTTCCCTCAGCCATTTTACCCGCTCTTCCGAGTCACGAGGGATTTTTCTTAGTGTGTCACGAAATGCGAGATCCTGTGACGTCGCTGGACTCATAGCGGATTTCCCAAGGACACAAGTGAGGCCCACTTTCGTCGTTGAGTTGGGTACAAGGGAGGCAACAAAACCACCCAGGCTGATCGACGCACCACATGGCCTTTTAAGCCACTTTGGCACTGGTCCACCCGCAGAAGCAGCGGTGGAAACATCCTCGGCTGTTGACACACAAAGCAGGGGTTCAAAAGATGATGTGGCCAACACAGCTGGGAGCACTGGTGACCACTGAACATCAATCACGTAGCTGTTTTCTTGCTGCAGCGCGCCACTTTTTTCACCCGTCGAAGGATCCCACCAAATGGTTTTGCCATCAGCCGAGCAGGATGCCATCATAGACGCGTCTCCGGGATTCCATGCCAAACCTGTAACGGCGCTTTCGTGACCTCGCATCTCACGCAAAGGCACCATAGACTTTTTCAAGTCCCATATCTGAATGGCTGAATCCTTCTCGTCCATTGCAACGGCAATCTGTGTTGCAACCACAGGATGCCATGCAATGGCGTTCGCAGATGCTCCAGACTTCCCTCCTTTTGAAACATTTAAAGACACAGCCAAAGTCTGGGACTTTAAGTTCCATACATTCACAACGCAATTAGAGGAGGCAGTGGCAATAATATGCGGGTACTTCGGATGCCACTGGAGATGTACGATGGCAGCCGTGTGTGCCGCATCCGACATGACGGGAACTTGCTGCGGATCCCTCGGATCTTCCAGTGTCCAGACGTCCCACTTACCATCTTCTGCACCGATTGCAAGAAAATTGGGCTGAGACGGATTAAACTGGCATCCTCGCACTGCACCGCGATGCTCAGTAATGGCGCAAAGAAGCGGCTCCTCTGTGTTAGAGTGAGGGTTCAGTTGATAATTCTTCATCATAACGCTCGCATCGTACACGTAAACAGCACCATTGCAACACGCCACAGCAATCATTCCGCAAGCACTTCCAAATGAACACCAATCAACACGAAAGACCCGCTCAGGGATAAAAGTGCGAGCCACCACTGGCATCTCCGTCTCATCCGTCTGTGTAACATCCACAAGACGAATCTCTAAAAATGCCTCGTTGCTGAATTCCTCGTCCATCGCACCGGCCAAAGACGCCGCCGCAAGAAATGTTGGGGTTCCGAGATGACTGGGGGCCCACGCAAACGCGCACGACAAAGGGGTGCTTTTCAGACGCATATTGCTGGGTGGTCCTTTTCCCTTTTCTTTTCTCGGTCCTTTTCCTCTTCTTCCAGGCTGTCGTTAATCGCCTTTTCCTTCGCACCTCCCTTCCGGTTTTTCTTTTTTTTTTCTTTTTTACTCTTCTAAATTTCGGCTACCCGACGGATATCCATTGAAGTTTCAAATAAAGAAAAAAAAAAAGAGAACGCAATCCGGTGCAGTTTTTCTCGTCCACTCTTCTCCCGCGGTAGAAGAACCACAATGTAACGAAAAGTAAAAAAAATAAATTTAAATAAATAAATCTGATCAACCATGTCTTCTTCTCGCCGTGAATACGCAAGGCATCGGTAACAAAAAAATTTTAAGGAAAAATGAATACACAGGCCTCGTAACAAACCACACACAAGCCATAAGACGGATGAAGAGCAAACGGTAATAATAACGATATTGACAGAGAGGGTCCATTGCGTCGTAGTCCTCAACACGCACCCAGCGGGTGACCATGCGCGGCACACATCGTACAGATGCAGCAACGGCAGCACTGAAGAAGTGAAATTGAGGAGCCGGATGAATTTTGGCGTCCCGCTGCGGCGGTCCCATTCATTTGACCCTCCGTTACGTGAGGGTCACGGCGAGGCGGTAACGCGGCTAGTGAGAGGCGGGCTCTGGTCGCCGCACATGGCACATTTGGGTACGCGTGACGCAATATGTCGGCAAGCGTCACCGATCCACTCTTCGATCGGTCCATGTACTTTGCAAAAGGAACCGACAGTGCGATGTCAGCGATTTCCCACTGCACGAGAGAACGTCGTCGTCCAGAGAGTACGAACTTCTCCAACGCATTCGCTGGTCGTGGAATGCGCTCGTGGCCCTTCGCTCGAGCCGCCAAAAACTCTCGCTGTGCAGCATCCATCGCTTGTATGGAGAGTGAGCCCAAGTGAAATTCATCCAACTTTGAAAAGGCCTGCAAGTAACCCTGAAACACGTGCGTCGAAAAAAACGTTAATTCACACCGGCGCAGCGTTTGTAAGGTGACGCACGGGTAAAGCCCCTCGAGCAGCTCCCGAAAACTGAGTCGATCGATGCCACTCACTATCTTCTTCCAAAGAAAAAGACCATGTGGTACACGCACACCGCCCAAAAAACCCTTGGCTGCATTCAACTCCTCCATGGTAAGTTGAGCTGCACCGGCAGAGGTAACACTTTCCCTTCTTGTCTGCTCAGGTCCTCCAACTGCAAATTGACGCATGCCGTCACACTCACGTGAAGCAATATGAAACAACGCGTCTTCCTGGAATCCATGCGTAAGGTACAAAAATCCGTCCTTCTTACTAGAAACCATCCCCGCAAGTACCCCACGCAAACGAAATAGCTTCTCCAGCGGTAATTCAAAAATTACATGGCGTTGAATGTCGGCCTCGCTAATATGAGGAAAAAAACCTCGAAGAAAGGTCGCAAAATCCAAATGTACAGTCGGAGAAGCATCGCGTGAAGCTGCATAAGAGAGTGGAATTGCCTTGAGGATGGACTGCACTATAGCCTCTCTCGACGAAGAGGACTCAAGGGCTGCAACAAGCGTCGAAAAAGGCACCTCTCCTGTACACATGGCATCCAGATGATCAAAGCAGCGCTCCGCACGGCGTAATAACACAGGCGGTATCTCTCTTACAAGTTCATGCGCCATGTACAAATTCCCAACACTGCATCCAAAGGGAATTTCAAGTTTCTCAAGGGGCTTAACCAGACCTTCATCAATGTATCGACTCAGCGACGGAGCCTCATGCGTCGGATCGCTACTCACCGTCTCCCATTTGCACTTATCCCCGTGCCATTGAGCCCGTACACATCGCCTAAAATTGCAACGCTTACTTTGATTAAATCGATCTCTCGTTTCTAGAAACGTCGAGATTCCTTCACCCGAGCGACGGCCGCCTACCCAGAATCCCTCAAAGACATCCCCATTCTCGTAGAAGATCACCCCACGTCCATGCTTTTCACCTCGAGAATACTCACCAACGTAGATGGAGCCATTGCGAGGGTAATACGTCACTCCACGGCCATGAGGTCGCCCCTCGAGAAATTCACCAACATATACCTCCCCCGACGGGAAGTGTTCCACACCATGCCCCTGGGGTAAGTCATCCTCAAATTCACCCTCGTAGGTATAACCACATGAGGAATAGAAGGCACCCATGCCGCATCGATAATTGTTCACCCAGTTCCCAAGAAAGAATCCTCCATCGGCAAAGTACATACTACCGGGACCTTCCTTAATACTTCTTTCCTGCAAACCACTGGCGGATGCAGACTGGCGATAGTGTCCTAGAAAAACATGTACCGCCTTCCCCGACGCAAATTCGGTCCCTGCAGTTGCCCGCACCTCATCTGCGGTATAAGGTCTCACTTCCCCGGCGTAAAGAACCGCTGCACTTTTCTTCAACGAGTGTTGCTCACCAAGAGCCCCACTGTCATCTGCAGAGACTAAAAGGGAGATGGGCTCTTCAATAACAGCATTGACGTCAGATGTGAGAAAAACGGTAGAATTTGTTGAAAGTGAGGAACCTGAAAAAGCCGGGAAGTTGAGAGAAGAATCGCGCAGCCCTGTTCCACGCGCGTGGAGGGCAGGCTTGACAAGGTTCATCTCCCTCCGTACAGACCCGGCCCCTCCTCTCGTGCCACCTCAATCCCGGTAGCAACAGCCCTATGTGCCAAAAAACAAAGTAAAAATAAATACTAAAAAAGGAGAAATGGAGGCATGCGTCTCTTGCAGTAAAGGCCATTAACGGAATTCATAGAAAACAACAACAACCGACAAGCCTAGAAAAGAAAAACAACAGAAAAAAAGTCTTCCTTTTTTATGTTTTAATTGAAAAATAATAAAAATAAAACAAAATGAAGTCTGTGTGCGTGTTGCATCCCGTTAGGAGAGGTCGCCCAGGCTCCAGCTGTCAGGTGCCTCTCAGTGGCGCTTGGGGCGAACGGCCTTGCGCTGGAACGTGATCTTCGAAGAGCGCTCCTTCCGGGCGGCTCGCACCTTCTTCATGTGTTCCAGCGTGGATGCCATCTTACGTGCGCGGCGGGATGCTATGCTTGCCAGGTCGGGGCGGACAGCAGCGACGGCCTTGCTCACAACAGAGGCCTCCACGCCGGCGTCCATCACGGCCTTCTTGTACATCGACTTGGGCTTGTTGCCCGCTTTGCCGTCCTTCGTCGTCACAAGAATGCGATCGCCCTTCGTCTTCACCACGGCAGCCTTCGTGTTCAAGAAGCCGGCGTGGCGCTTCGTCCAGTTCGCGTTGTTGTTGAAGGGATCGCTGCTCAGACGGATGCCGTTGCGCTTCTGAAGAAACTTGCTGTTCTGACGAACCAACAGCCACTGAAGATCCGTCGAGTGCGTCATGGTTCCTCAGGATATCGGGACCCTTCACTGCGTATGTGAGTGTACATAAAAAAATCAAGAAAAAAAAGAAGCGCAGCACATGAGAAGTAAAAATCAGTGGAAAAAAACGCCCAAAAAATGTCCATCAGAAAGCAGCCTTACCGGGTGCAGCCAATAGATATGCGGCGCCCGTCAAAACCTTCACCGTTGTGAATTCAGGAGGGATTGTTTTTTCTTAAAAAGGTGTCAGCCACCGTCGGCCAAGAAGGAAAAACAACAGGAAAGTATTTAAAGACTCTTCAATAGCTCCTATTTCTCTTTGGTCTTTGTGTTCGTGCATGTGAAAAGACTATCGCGGTGTGACATACACAGACACACACTCACAAGAAAAAAAAAAGCCTTTTAAATTGTGTAACAAAAAAGTGAATGCAAGAGGAAACAAAAGAACATTCCGTAGGTTAGAAAGACGTAGTCGGCACAACAAAGCACAAAACAAACAAGCCGTGAGAATAAGTTTCAAGGCATCTTTCACTTACATATACAAAAAGAGAGAAAGCTATATAACCACAAACGAAACAGGAAAAGCAAAACAAATAGGAAGAAGAACCCACAAAACAAAGGTCTCCCTTTTAGATCCCTCATTGTGTCGTGCCCTTCATAAATACCCATTTCATTTTTTGCATCAATGATGCATGTATTCCCTGACACTCCTCTTTTTCGGACGCTGCTTCAAATCACTGAAAAGGGGCTTTTGCTGTGGATCACAGCACTCTTTGCCTCATTCGTACGCTATCGCCACGTCATGACTGTCCTTCCCCCTCTTCTCCCTGCCCTTTCTTTCGTGTTGTACCGCTCATTTCTTCATTCTCCTTTTTCTTTATTTGCTACAACCAATATCGCCGTTACACCTCCCTCCCGCGTAAATAGGAGTAAAAAGTCAATTATTTTCCTTGAGTCCCTCCTCATTCCCCCCACTGAATTTTTAAGTTCCCCCCCCCCCCCTGTTTGATTTTTGTCCTCCTCCACCCTCGAGCCAATGTTTCCTTGAAGCGTGTGAAGTTTCTCCGCTCCCTCTCTCTTCGCTGGACCCCTTTCAAAGCATATTTTTGGAGCACAAACAAGTAAGGAGGATTCTACACTTTTCGCCCGTTTTTTACAATGTTGCCCCACCTCCCCGGGCCTCAGCGTGTGCATCGCCCCCTATCACAAACAAAATCATCCCACATACCCCTTTCCCACACAAGCACATAAAAAAAAAGAAAAAAACCTGTTATCGACGTTTTTCCGGTTGTTTTTAGTTATATCTTTTGCTTCCCTGACCCTTAATGCCGCGTTAATAACGGCCTCTGGGTCACGAGGGCAATTTCTTCTTGCGGGTGTACTTCACAAGACACTGATTGAGCGTGGGGCCAACGACCATCGTGTGGTAGTCAGGATCTGGAACCTCGTCCCGCAGCAACTGGAAGTCGTATTCACGGAAGGCGGTGGCAAGTATGGTTTTGACTTGCAAAAGGGCAAATTTCTGCCCAATGCATTTGTGCACACCCGCACCGAAGCCAATAAAGGCACCATCAACCTTTTCATCACGCTCCGGATCCCACAAACGTGGGTTGGGAAAGGCCTCCTCGTCGTGGTGTGAGAGTAACGGCGAACAGGCGATAATGTCACCCTTGGGAACAACATATGAACCAACCTTGACCTCCGCCTTTACCATGCGCATGACCATCAGGAGTGGGGGATCACGGCGAATGGATTCACGAACGCAGCGTTCGGCAAATGGCATTTCATCCATGACATTGTCATAGTTTAATTGTGCAGGGAATTCGTCAATCTCCTTGTGCAACTTGTCCAACCACTTCTTGTTCTTTGGATGCATCAGATGCAGCATGGACCAACTGGTGGTGATCGTCGAAGTGTGCTGGCCTGCAAACATAGCGGCCACAATCATACCGCACACCTCATGAAGCGACATACGGGTGCCGTCCCGGTACACAGCCTTAAGAAGTCCACCCAAAAGATCGGAGGTGTTGTTATCTTTGCTCGCCTCCTCCTTCTCACGAGCAACAATAATTTCGCCCAAAATTTTCTGGAGTTCCGCACGGGCCTCACGGCAACGAGCCGATTGGGGAAGGGGCAAACGCAGCAACCATGGCATAAATACAGCTGCGGGGATCAGGCTGCTTTCCATCTTAGACAAAAGCTGTGCAAAATGTCGGGCATTTAGGCGCTTGCGAAGATCCTCGCCAAAAAGACACTGGCATGCCGTGTTGATGATCATGGCACCGCAGTCCTCCAGGAGGTTAATTACCCCCTCATCTTCTTTCCAATTCTCAGCCATAAACTTGCGGACCTCATGCTGGATTGCAGGGACAAAGTTCTGAAACTTCGCAATGGTCAACTCCTCCGCAAGAAAGTTCAGCTGCTCCCTCATCCTTGGGTATGGCGCAGCGTAGGCAACGCCCTCCCCAAAAACCGGTGTCATAATGGTGTACACCTCACGTGGAGAAAGAATCTCATTGCGAGGCGAGAAAAAACGACTGTGTTCGTGGGGATCGCCCACGATCGTCACGCGCTGTCCCCCAATGCTGATGGTGAAAACACCCGACTTGAGATCACGTTTGCATCGCTGCATAAACTCAAGCGGGTTCTTGCCAAACTGCACAATGTGTCCCAGAAACGGCACCGTAACGGGGTAAACCGGTGGGTCAGTAGGACGGGTCGTGTTAAATGACTTTACAGAGTACACCGAGTACAGGATGAGAGCCGTAAGGCCCAATACAATGGCTTCAATGAACATTTTGCCGTTGTTGTTCCCAAAGTGTATGTGTGGGCGTAATTTTTCCCGTAATATTAATATATTGTTTTAAAGGGGTTTTATTTTTTATTTTTTTTTCTTCCGGCTTGTTTTTTTTTTTCTTTTTTTTCGTTTACCTCGAGGGTTTTATATCTCCTGCCAGCTGATCAGTTGGCTTCGCTCAATTGTTTTTATTATTATTATTGTTTTGTGTTCTTTCTTTCTTTCTATGTGGAATAAATGTTCTGATGTCTCCTGCCCACCCCCACCCCCGACATGCCAGAAAAGAGCGTCACGGGACAAAGCAGTCAGTACGGCAACAACGCAACAAAAGAGGTGAAGGACACAAAACACGCAAAAAATAAATAATAAATTCAGGCTGGAAGAAAGCGAGAGACATGACGCCACGGAACAAACACGACGGCAACAAACGACGCAATAAACACGCAAATATCACACACAAAAAAAAAAAATCTTAAAATAAAGCGCTCGATGCTTCTATTCGCGAAAATAATAACAATAACAACAAGGGGGGCTCGGGAAAGTGACGAGAAGTCTGTCGGCTTTGCTACCAAAAGAAAAAAAAAGGAAATGCAAGCAGAAAAAAAAACGTCCACACAAACATTTATGTGTCACGTCAACGGCAAAACGACAACAACAAAAAAAAAAAGTTTTTTTCATGCGAAAATACAATAGGGGGATGCATATAGAGAAAAAACCCGCAACGCCCGCCTGAGTTAACATTTACATATCGCGTGCCGCCATTGACAGTGCGAGTTCTCCGCGCCAAAAGCAAAAAAAAAAAAAAAGAAAACGGCTTGCTCCCTCTATTTCTCCACTTCTTTCCTCTCCTATATATATATTTATTTATTTCCCCCCCTTTCTGGCACCATTGAAGAGAGGCAACAAGGTGCAGATACGTAAAAAGCTTAGGGAAGAACTACAGATAAGGAGCAGCCAGCGCTGTTCTCAAATGTTTCTTTTTCAGCAGCCAATTGGAAAAAAAAAAAAAAAGCCCCCATTCACCATCTCCCCTCCTTTTCCAAGCATACAATGTTTTTGGTTTGCTTGTTTGTTTTTAGGGTTCTCTGACTTCATGCGCATGAAGCTCCTTACCAGCATCGGTGGCGGAAGCAGCTGCATGAGGATCTCGCATCACCCGCCGCCGCTGAATAAGATATTCAAAGGTTGTCAGCCCGAGGCGATGCAACATGATGTGAAAGCCAAGCAGGTGCAGAAGTGGTGGTACTGCCAACAGCATGAGTACACAGAGTACAATAGGGCCAATGCGAAAGAAAAAAGAGTATGGTGACAGATACGACCACCACCTGGCTAAGAGGACAACACCGGAGATGAACGCAAGCAACATGCTGAGAGCCGAAGAGACGAGAAAGGCAATAAAGATCCGGTAGTTTTTCTCTCCAATGCACATATTCAGCCATTTGCAATGGTGATCAAATCCACTGATGCACTTGTTGCAAGCCTTACAATGCCTTGCATCCGAATGTGTGAGTCGCCGACAATAAGTACATGGCTCCCCCTCATTCGATATATCCCCGTTCTCTCGAAACGAAATAACAGCCCATAATATACATGTTGACAAAATAGCGGAGCCTGTCAGTGTCACAAGCACCACCATCTCCGGCAAACAGTTCGAAAATCCACCGCTACGATACAGTAGGACGTAGGTCGGTAATATAGAAGCCCCAAAAAGTATAGTACTAAGAGCCGTCAAAGTCAAAGCAATTATCTGCAAAAAGTGAAGTGGCCACTGAAACGCGTGCCGCCTCGGACGATTACACTGCCAACCATCAGGGTTGGAACGATCTACACAACAGGAAGCAAATGGGGGTTTAGAGTATCTAACCATAAAAGATGACAAATCACTCTCCGTCTGGGAAACTTGAAAAGAATTGACTGTTTCCTCCGTTGGAGAAAAACTACCACACGAGGATCCACGCGCTGCCCGCATTATAATCTCCGGAGATGAGGAAATAAACTGCTGCGGGGAGCCAATGTATTCCCCCGTTTCCATTGAAGGAATCAAATCTCGATCACATCCCGGACTCGAAATCTCCCGTGGACAATTCTGTTGTTTCTCCGCGGGCATCAATACACAGAATTCCTCGGCAAGGCATCCCTTTGGTTCGATTTGCGGGAAAAAGATATCATGCTCACGAGACATAGAACCTTTCGCTGCCAAGGACTCTCCTGCACCATTCATGGCTACCTCCAAACCCTCGGGCTCATCCCCTCCTTTTGATCCATGCCCGCATAACTCTACACGTCTGTGTGCTACTACACGGAAGGGCGACACCGCTGTATCCTCCGTGTAAACGTCACTGAAATGGACACAGTTTGGAATTTGTCCAGTACCGTCACCATCAAAAAAAACGCTCTCTGGCGGATCTTCCGACCGAGACACACACTCGACCGAATGCCGAGCAATGGACGACATACCAGCCACCTCCGACTCTCCTTTATCAACATCAGACGCCTTAATAGACATCACACTATGAATTCTTTCCCTCCTCTTTCTTCTTTTCTTTTTTGCTTCCGCCTTGTCTTGTAAAAATTGCCGCTCTATTCCATCTTCATTGATCTGCTTCTGCTCACCGGAAGAAAAGGCTTCTACTGCATCCGTTATTGACTCCGGCCTGACACCGCTTACCACGCTTGCTGCCGCTGATGGAACCAGTTCCCTCGACACCTCCATGGAGTATCCACCTTTCCTGCTGTGAGCGCCTTTTTGGTGCTTGTGTTGCATACTTATCCCTAATTCACCGTCTGCACCAGACACAACGCCATGGTCATCCGCCTTGACGTGGAAGTTGTCGTTTTGATGACATCGAGAGTATTCTCGCTGTTGCTCCTTCTTCTCCCCCACTTCCGCTATTTTCAATTCGACCCTGTTATCACTAGGCCACAAACTCGACTGTCGGCCGCTACCGCCACCACCACCACTAAGAGTGCTGCGAGCGACGTTATTGCCCGTGACACGCAGAATGGAACGTGAGTGAGCGAGCGACGCGGAGAAGGAATGCGACGAATGGTTGGCGATCTCCTCCACCGACAACTGCCGTAAAGATGCTCCCAGTGAAGTGAAAACCCGCCATTCCGTGCTGTTGGTTTGTGGCATCGGTGCGCCGCGCTTCCTCTAATCGGCGGAGTCACGCCCCACGGCTTCCTATCTTACTTAAATGTTTCAGAGCCGCTCAATTTTTTCCCCCACTTCCTTGGGATAGAAATATACATGAAACCACAAACACACAAAAAAAAAAATCAAGCAGGCTAACGTATCACACACAGACAAGAAGTACAAAATGCCATTTACTTTTACTCACCCACGCGCTTCGCCAGTGCCGCGGCAGCGGCGGCAGGAGCAGCTCTTGCCCAATGCACACCAAGCGCCCACCGATGTGCAAGAACAAAAGAAGAAGAAAAAGAATGAGCGGAAAGGGGTGCACAGGCTGAGAAAACACGCCAAAATAAATAGTAAAAGACGTGAAAAAAAAAAGGATAATGATGAATGATTGTGGTGGCGGTGAGTGTAGACGAATGCCTGGAACCCCTCCTTGTGTAGGACCTCAATGAATATAACAATAAGAAATTCCCCTTTCGGTGCGTTTCTTCATTTTTTTTTTCTCTTGTTTTTTTTTCTTTTTTCTTTTTTCTTTTTTCTTTCTGTCTTTTTCCACTGTTTTTGGTAAGCGGTCTCCTTCTTCCCCCCTCGGTCCCCGTACTTCCTTCCCTGCTGTCACCTCATACATGCCAGCCTCCCTCTTCATCTGTTTGTTCGCATCATCCAATGAATAACAAACATACCCCACCCGCTGGTAGAAGCACACACATACACATATACATACATACATGCAAAGAGGCAAAAAGCAGCACCCTCATGATGCCCCCGCCTGAAGCAAACAGCCAGCTGTCAAAAAAAGGCCAACACACACACAAACAAAAAAAGAAAAAAAGAAAAAAACGGGAATGCCGGTGTAAAGCTGAATTCACAGGGTAAAACACTCTTTTCCCGCCTTCTATATTGTGTGTCCAATTAAAACACAACACGCACACAAAAATAGTCTCATCCCTTCCATCCTGTACTGCTTCTGCCACTGTTGCCGGTGTTCTTTATACCAGTGAGCAGATATCCATATTCAAAACCCTTTTTTGTTCCCTTCATTTCCCCTCGTCCTTTATCCTTTTTTTTTTTACTAAAAATTCTCGTACCTCTCAACTTTTAGTTGTTTTCTCGTCCCTTTTAAATTCATTTAATTAGCGCCCTCCATTCACCTCCTTTCACTCTTTAATATGTATTTCCTTTTTTTTCTCCCTGCTTTACTTCTTCCGTGCCCTTCCTCTCCTGCTCATTTCTTCTTCTAGGGGTGTGTTATAATCTTTTCCCCAATTTCCCTTTTCATTTTTTTTTTCTCTTTATTGGGTTTCATTTTCTTCTTTTTCTTTTCTCCTTTTCATCTTGTTGTTAAATCCCATCTGCACCCCCCAATCACACCGCAAGACATCTACGCACAAAGACATACATATATATAGATAGATAGCGGTGTTTAACTGCATGCACACACACACACACAGAGAGAGAGAGAGAGAAGGTGCGGAGCGGACGCACTAAAGAGGGAGAGGGAGGAAGTAGAGGGGGGTGGGGCGGTAAAGAAGGAAGAAGCAAGAGGTGTCTATTGCACGTGTGTAAACCCAAAACCCTCTCAAAAGAGGCAGCGAAATTTACCTTCAGTCAATCGTCGCGTGCAAATGTCCTGCGCCGTAAATTCATCAGAAAGTGATGACAATGCCTTTAAAAAAAAAAAAAAAAACATCTCACTCTTGGTTTATGGAAAAAGGAATGAAGAAACGCCCTGTTTTCTTTCCTTCCTTTTTCCTTTTTTGTTTGTTTTTTTGTTTACCCCTCGTTTCCTTACACACTGCCATCCCTTCTCGCCCCCTTTGCCCCTTACTCTTCTTCGTTCTTTTTTTTTTTTTTTTTGGCTGGTTGATTTGTTGTTGTTGTTGGTTTTTATGCGTTTCAGCTGAATTTAACCATGGCGGCCACCCCAACATCAGAGTCTTACTGCAGCACAGGGTGTTCCGCACGCTTATGCCAACTTCTGCTTGAGGAATCCGTAGCCCAGGTCCTTGCCCTCCTGTTGGAGAATCTCAAAGTACTGGTTGATCATGGTCACAGCCAACAGAATACCCGTGCCGCTACCAATGGCACCAAGAAAGTCCGCAAAGATAGTGAGCGCCCCAACGCAGAGTCCGCCGAAGCTTGCCGCAACAGGGATGTACTTCTCCAGCAAACGTGCCATGTCCTCCTCGCTCTCACGAGCCTGCGCAAGCCAGCGGCCCTCTGCCACGAGTCTTTTTGCCACGTCACGCGGACCAGTGTGGCTGATCGTCACCCAAAGCTTCGAGAAGATAGCGCATGAGAAGAGAATGAAGACGACATAAAATATGCCGTGGATGGGGTCATTCAACAACTCATATAGAGTGGCAGGAGGCGTGAGGTAGTAGGAGAGACCACCGACAGGAAACATCTGTCCGCTCTGACTGTACGCACGCTCTTCCCAACGACCAAGAAGGTTGATCAGAAAGTTGTGTTGTCCAAAGCGACGCGAAAGAATTTGTGAGAAGAAGTTGATGTTTGATACAACACTGGCTTGCAGAATAATTGGCATATTGCTGGTGTAAAAGAGCTTGATCATATACGGCTGACGATCGGCAGCAGCATGACGTGATTTTGTCATGAGCGGCACACGAAATCCCTGGAAGAAAACAACCACCGCGAAAACCACAAGTGTGGCAAAAATGTTCGTAAGATTTGGCAACTGTGGACGGTAAAAGGCCTCCTTCAGTGCCCGCATCTTGTCGCTCCGTGAAACCAACAGGTGAAAAAAGGCAATGATGGCACCCTCAAACTCCGCCCCGCGGCCCGTGTTGATGGTTGAAGGGGAAAAGCTCTTCCAGATAATGGTGTCACAGATGTTCGTTGCTATGAAAAGCGACGTGCCAGCGCCAAGACCCCACCCCTTCTGCAGCAGTTCATCCAAAAGAATACAAATGAGTGTGGCCAGCATGAGTTGCAGAACAATGAAGCCTGACATGATTGTGCCAATCTCTCGCACATCGCCGTACATGCCGGAACTCACATACGCCATGGCCTCCACAGCAGTAATAAAGAGAGCCGCAATTTTTTGAATCCCTTCAAAAACGGCACGTTCCTTCTTATCGTTGACATCATAGCTGATTATCTTGACCCCAGAAAGCAACTCCATGATAAGTGAGGCCGTGACAATTGGCGAAATGCCAAGCTCCATAAGCGTCCCCTTGTTGCTAGCCAGCACCACACGCATCCAGTAAAAAGGGTCACTCGTTTGGCCGGGCCGGGCACCAAATACGGGCACTTGGCAGCAAATTAAAAAGATAAAAAGTGCAGCAGCTGTCCACATAATCCGTTCCTTAATTGGCGGGATACGTTGCGGACGAGAAACTTCGGGGAGGAGCGCCAAAATAGGCTGCGCCATCATCATATAGTTCTTCATCTCCACAATGATACTTAATCCTATTCTTATGATTATTCCTTCAATTTTTTATCGTGTATTTGGGTGTGTTCAGCTGGCGCCCGCCTTCAGGGAAGGCAACCGAATCCCTCGCGTTCCTCGTCGTCGTTGCGGCCACACATAAAAACAAAAAAAAAAGGAAAGAAATGATTGAAGCGTAGGACGCAGAGCACTCAAAAATAGAAACTCGCTTTCAGTAAGAAAGATGGAAAAAACAAAAAGCAGGCACATCTCGGCCCACACGAAGATCGAATGAAGACCTCAATCAGCAAAAAAAAAAAAAATCCTGCAGTAAATGCATGCCGCACCAAAAAGACCGATAAATAGAAAAAAAATAAATAATAATAAATAAATAACAACAAAAAAAAAAAAAGGAAATATGCCTCCCCGCACCGTATCCTACCACTCCCTCACAGGCCAACCAAAAAGACACACGCACACAAACAGGAAATTTTTTTTTCCTTGCATTACGCCGCGGTGGATTACTGCTTCAGTCCCCTCCAGCAGCGTCTGTTGGTTGTGTGTCGGGTGCGCGCTCGTAGATGGACGCGCTGCATGTACCCAGAGGGAAGAAAAAGAGGCAGACAAGCATCTATACACATGTATACATTTAAAACACACACACACACACACACACACCGGTACTTCCCTCTTCTCCCCCCCACTGGGACGAGTGGGTGGAGGCGGTGAAAAGGGAATGTGCCGCATCTCACGCACAATCACACGAACCAGCCGTAAAACAATAAATAAATAAAAAATGAATGAGAGAATGAAAAAAAAATAATAATAATAAAATACGAAAATCCTCATCACTCGCGTTGAAACAAAAAAAAAAAAAAAAATGTAAATGTTTAGGCAAAAATAAATACACTTTCTCTCTCTCTCTCTCCTCCTCATTGTGCGCGCGTGTACGTGCGTTGCAGTCGGGCATTCAAAAGGGGCCCCATGCATGAATGCCCCCACCTCCACCCCCACAAACAGTCACCACTCCGAATGTGTGTGGGCGGGGCGGGGCGGGGGAAGCAAACAAAACAAAAGTCTTAGAATCCACGGCCACAAAAACAAACGAAAAAAAAGACACAATTTTGTTCTGCAGAAAACAATAATAATAATAATAAATGGGGCAAAATAAATGTGATCCCGCATGCAAAAAACAATATATACGCCTGCAATCGACAGAAGCTCATAAAAATATAAATAAATAAAGAACGGCTGCGAAGAGGAGGAAAAAGGAAGACGAACCGCGAAATAATAAAAATAAAAGCAATAAAAATATATTTACTCAAAGAAACCCCCCCTCCTCCCGTTTGTGTTCCCTTTTATTCCCAACCCCCTCTTTCTTGCATGACGTTTACAAATCATTCTGTTTTTGCCGTCTCATTTCACATTCCTTGCGATTGCCCCTCCCATTCTTCTTCCTTCTCACCCCCTCTCTACACTGTGGAGGGTGTGCCATAACGGTCTAAAAGAAAAGAACGGCAACAGAGGAAAAAAGGAAAAAAAAAAAAAAAAGACCTCTACACACAAAAGAAAACAAAAACAGTAAATAACGGTTCATATCCATCCACATGTTTTTCTCTCCCCGCAGTACATTTCACTGCCGTCGTCACACTCTTGAAGCATCTGAGAAATAAATTAAATAAAAAATAAAATAAAATAAGTCTAAATAGATATGTAACTATGCACATTATAGCTGTGCCATTTCATGTTCATCGCACGGGCGGAAATGTGATCAAAGGGAAATTGCCTTCATTCGGCCCTTGTGAGAACGATATCGCCTTGTATCTTTGCGCGCAAACTGCACGTCAATTAAGGGCGCCAAATCCGGGTTCCGCCTTAACCACAGCAGACACCGTCGCGCATCTGCTGTCTTCTCAAACCGCACAAATCCGGCCCATTTGTAGTATGGCACAAAGGAATAAAACCCAGCAAAGCGCTCCGAGAAAAAGCTGCGTCTCAACAGCAACTTCACAATTGCACTTTCAGTATCGCTGTCTCCGCAGTAAGCAACTGACGATAATAATGATGGCAATATCGGTGCCCCATCAAATACCAATTCATCACACATTGGCTCTTCTTTATCGGAGAAATGCGGTAAATCCGCCGCCTTCAGTGTCTTCGCGTCCGCCGTATACTGGGTAAGCGGCTCCTCACGTAACTTTCGCTCCATACAAAGATGGTGCCGATGATGAAAACACGACCACTCCTCGGAAGAGTATTTCACTTGCCGCATATCTTTCTGTTGTTGCTTCTCCCATGACTCCTGACTTTGGAAGCATGAAGAAACTTCAGTGGCCTCACTCGCCTCACCAATGTTCCCTGGCTCGCTTAGAAAAGAAATGCCCAGACCCCTCAAAGACAATAAAAACTCCCGACGACGTCGCTCACCAGGGCTTAGGACCCTCACTAACAGTGTACTACTGGGAAGTTCCTTGTCATCCAGCACCGCGGATGCAATGGTGGAATCCAATACACCTCTTTGGGAGGCCTTATCATCCTGTGATAACTGGGGCTTAACGTGTAGAGGAGATGCCACAGCATCCCCTTGGCACCGAAAATGTCCATTTTCAAATGCCCGTGGATGGTTTCCAGCCGAGGCCGTGCGCTGTATATTCCTCCTGCTCTTCAGTGGGCACCCCGCTGCTGAGCCACTGCATTCATTGGTGTTTCCCGCCGCTATGAATTCCCCAGAGGGCTTACAATATATGATATTGGAGGGAATAACCGGCCCCTTAGCCCATTGGGGCATCGTCGTCACTGCAGTGAAGCCCACACAATGGCTCACAGGGGATGATTGAATGACAAAGCGCGGCAGTTGTAGTGTCGCCTGTGGTATAAACTCCATCGGCTTCTGAACAAAAAAGTGATAATAGTTAGGCGACGGTGGCTGAAGAGACATGACGGAAGAATCAGAGCCTGGGCGACACGTCGGGGAACTGACGGACCACTCCGCTATGAGAATGACGCTGTTCAGAAGAAGCTCCGTGGAGCGGGTGGGATCTCCGGCGCAGTGGTTGTACTCATCGTAGGGAACCGGATATCGAAATCTTGGCGGAATGGGAGTCCATTTTTGCAGCATACGAGGAAAACAGTTGAATGCAATGCCCGCTGTCACTTCCAGTCTATAAAACCATTGCAGGGCTCGGTAAGCAGAATCCGCCGTGTTGTACTCGGCAAACCCAACATCGCGGCCACCAGTCCGTTTCACCCGCAGTGAGACAAGCCCCACACTTGGTACAAAGGGCAGTAATTTATGACTGTTGTCCACAGTTGGCGGCACATTTTTAATAAAAATTGTGCGGGTTAGCGATAGCCCCGAATCCTTCGACAGTTCTGGGAGATGCAGTTTCGGAGGCTCAGAGTGAGAGGCAAATGATGATGACGAGAACGTTGCAGAGGATGTTGCTGCAGCGTCTGGCACACTCCCTCTTCCCCCACCCGACGGAGCCATTCCGGAACCATGCACCCTTGGCCACATTGGTGTCTGAAAAAATCCCGGGAAGATCTTCTTCGTCTTCTCCCCGGAGTTCCCCCGCTCCACACAAACACCACCTGAAGCCTTCTCCCTGCCGCGGCCAACTGCTCCCTTGCGTGGCAAACTCTTCCCGTTAACGTAGGAAAATTGGCTTCACCACGCTTCTGTCGTGAATACGGCCTGTGCCCACGGCCTATCCGTGTAATTGAATACAGTCCGGACACACACACACACACACAGCCAGATGCCAAGAAACAAAACCACTCCAAGTGAACCCAAGCTTGAGTAAAACTTCTACTGGAACCTCCTATTTATTCCCTTTCACACTCGCTTTGACGCCCTTCAAGTACATATGTGTTAATATAATAATAAATAATAGTAAAAGAAAGAAAAAAGAAAATTTAAAAAAAGCCACAGTTTATTCCGCTCACCTCTTTCCCCTTCCCTCACTCCATTTCCCTCATATTTTTTTATTATATAATTCTAAGTAAAGCGAGTGAAAAGGCAACCAACAATTCGTTGAGACAAATCGGGTCATAAATTAAATTTGTGCGTAATCTCAAAAAAGAAAAAAACACGCACACACGCGCACAGCCCCCTTTCTCTCTCATCACGCTACCTCTCTCTTCCTATTTCACCCCTCCCCTACAGAAGAACAACGCAACCCACACGAAGCCCCCATGATATCCACTGTTTTACGCTTCCTTTCCTTCGTTCTTTTTGTTTTTTTGTTTTGTTTTGTTTTTTCCTCCCCGGCCTTCATACATCCTTCCTCACGACACAGCCGCTAAAGAAAGTAGTCATTCAAGCGTAAATTAACAACCCACTACACACTGTTGGCCATAAATTTGTCGTTGTTTTTGTCACCTTTACAAGGAGGAAAGAACAGCTCTGGGATTCTTTGCGGCTGCAGCCTCCACCTTAGTGGCTTCACTTCCCATTCCAAGTGCTCGAAGTTCCTGCGCCACCGCCAGAGCCACGGACTTGAAGCTGTGACCTGCAGAAATCTTGTTACCGCTAACTGTATGATACGTGCGGCTGGCACCTCCCAGAACCCCGGCGTAGGCCAATTCAATCTTTTCCGTTGACGTTACGTCATTCAGGAGGACAACGCCAAGTGACTCAGGGAACATAATAAGGTGGTTGGTCGCGACCGATGTGCTTTGTATTTCAGTTGTCATCCCTGCAGCTTCAATTGTCTCTGTCGAGACTTTTCTGAAAAGCTCATTGACGTTGTTGTACTTTGTTGCCTGTTTCAGTACAAGAGTGACACGATTCACACCAATCGCCTTTGCATTTGCCACAGCCACCTCCGCACTCTTCTTAAAAGACTCCGTGGCAGCCTTCACCTCAGCATCCATATTGATACCTGCAGCAAAGAAGACATCAAGGGCATCACGCAGTTGTACCTTTTCAGGGGAAGCACGAGGGAGCACGGCCCGCACAAGCACGGTCTTGACGCCCGCGTACGCTGGGTCCGGCGAGGCAGGTGCGGCAGTTACTGACGTGTGCACACCAACGGGCGTCTCAGGCCCAACCACCACTGCATTTTTCTCCGCCATCGAGGTCATTGTTGTGCTAAGCTTCCCAGCGGTGGCCTTGTCGACGATAGCGGTGGCAGCCTGCAGTAGTGCCGCCGAGGCCCCTGCAGAAATGATAAAAAGCTGCTTCGACATGGACAAGGAAAAATAAACCACCGACAAAAAAAAATTCCTCTAAAAACCACTTCCACACGTCAAATATAACCGCTAGCAGCAAAGCGTAAAAAAAAAAGGGGGGGGGAAAGAAGAAAAGAAGACACACACAAAAAAAAAATGGGTTATAGATAGAACAAACACTCCTGCAATGCATCTCAATCGTCATCTTATTTTTGGCTCCGGGGTGTCTCAAAACGTCTCAGTTTGCCTAAGAAGGATCCGCCCGCACGATCCTGCTTTATTAATAGTATTAACTTTAGTGTTATTATTAATATTGAACTTCCGGAGAAAAATCCTCATTCCATTCCACCGCCCCGGATGCAAGTAAACATACACCAAATACGTAAAAAACAAAAAACGCGCGCATAAGAAGTTAATGATGAAAAAGATGACACAAGAGACAGACGATACACAGAAAAAGTACACGAGAAACACCAACAAACAAGTAAAAATACGGAATGGCAGTCGTCACATTTACTAGCCAATAATTGTGTAAACCCCTCTTTATTTTATGCCAGCCGATGTCGTCTTCGTGGTGCCAGGGTCAATTGCCCCGTATTGTCGGGGGAGCCAGGGGCCAGCAACGTTTCACTCACGGGGCCATTGTTGTTCGCGCAGGGCTGACGGCATTCGACCAGCTGCGTCTTGCAGGGACACAGCCGTAACGCCATGAGGGCTGGGGGGCACGTGTCACCGCAACGCGGGCCATCAAATTTATTTGAGAAAATGAGAGGAAAACAACAACAAAAGAAAAAGGTGTGCAACGGGCAACCTGGTGGCAGGGACGGGTTCGCTACATAAATTTTAAATACGGACAAAGACGGTTGAGAAGACAGTGTGGAGAAGAGCAGAGCTGCAAATCCCCACTCCGCTCCAAAGAAAAAATCCTCCATTCACTTGATTCCTTCTTGCACACAGAGAAATCTTTCTGTAACAGGGAGATGTTGGGCCACACAATTCAAAACCGCGCACGAAAAAAAAAAAAAAAGAAGAACTGAAGAAGTCCCAACCGCTACTCATCGTCACTTATCTTGTGCCTTAAAAAGCCATACGTGTCCCACAGCTCCATAAGAGCCAACACTGTGGGGCACATCAGCAGCGTGTGAGGAGGAAACGCAATTCCCGTGCAAAGCGACAATCTTTGTGTAAATTCCACTGCGCCTCTCGTTAAGAATCCTTTAGACTGCATTTCGTAGTATCGGACCACGGGCGAGTCCTGATAAATGTCCACGACAAATGGCAATTTTTCGTTGGGCTGGATAACGTGGCGAATAGTCCCAGTCGCAGCCGATGCGCTGTGACCACCAGCCGCACAAAATAAATCATCGTTGTGCGAGTTCATTGCCATGTCTTTACCAGAGTTCGATCGAACATCTGCCGAGAGCTCATGTTGATGATATCGTGTGGTGGAAACGCCGGAAAGCTTCCTCACCGTTGTGGAGCCCTTCAAATAGGAGACGCCTGAATAAGTCTTTAAAAACTCCTCCGAGCTTATCAACAGACCTAGATCAACAAAACTCGTGGTCAAGTCCAAAACACAAGCTCTGTAAGGTTTTCCTTCCCACTTCATGTTCTGCAGAACCGTGTTAATTCGTGCGCACCTTGCAAGAGTCTCTCGGATGATGCCATCCTCGGGACTTCTACGCGGAGACGGGAACACATTTGTGCTCACACAATCAGCAGGCTCAGACAATACTGTAATATTCCGCCGCGTCCAGGCAATGAGTTGACTCATGCACGGAGTAGCACCTGAGAAGTCAAGTAATACGTCACCACCACGCATGTGCTGAAGCGAATACGTTAAGTCCTGCGAAGAGCATGTCGTCGTCGACGCAATGCAATCAGCAAGAGTGCATTTAGAGGAGTTCTTCCACGGCTGCCCATCTACGGGAGAGTACAGAGTCAGTTGAAGTTCGGAGTCTTCCAACTCCACACCATTATCCTTCCACATCTGCAGCAGCTCTAGGTGTTGCCATTGGTTGTAGAAGGTACTATTCTCCGGTACTGTAGTCAAAAGATACTCCATGTGAACCCTCACCCCCGTGGATTCAGCGTAGCAAACAAGGACAGTACTCAATCGTTCCAAATCTAAAGGATGACCACATACAATGGCTGAATGAGAGCTGATAATGCGCGTCATCTCCAATTTTGACATGGGAATAACACAACATTTATTACGGCCACAACAGCCATCACAATTCCCTGACCCAAAACTTACTTTATTTACCTCGTCAAGAAGCAGCTGCAACGATATGGTTGAAATGTTGACAAGAAGCAGCGCAAAGCTGCGTTGTGGGCTATTTTCAAGATGCGTTTGAAGTCGCTTCTCCATTTTACTGTACACCAACCCAACAAAAAAGGTTGCACGATACATTCGAGAAGCATGATGGACCAGCTCTTCCTCTGTTGGTGACATGGCAACTGCCAGTGCCGCAAAAATACCCTTGCCGCTAGCAAACAGGCCACCTTGCTGGCGGATGGTTTCAAAGGTGTCATGGTAGCCATGCAGCTTCGCCGAGACGTAGAAGCAGGAAACTTCATACAACAAGTGTAGGGGCCACGAGATGAGCGGATCCATAAAAAACTGCTCATCGGGAGTCCTTTGCCCCTGTCGAAGGAAATCCAGGAAGTCAATTTCCTTCGGGTAAAGGTCCTGATTGGACTTTAGCACACTCTCAAGAAACACCTCTAATACTAGCTGATTTCGCCTAAACATGCGACTAAAGGACTCAAAGTAACCCCGCTCTATAGTGCCAAAAAGAGCAAAAACACCGCGTTTTCGGCGTCGTGCAATATCAAGCCTTTGTGAAATATTGGCGGAAAAAGGTGTGGCCACTCGTTGTGTCAACAAACTGTTCTCAGAAGAAAAAGACGACATCACAGAGGCAGCGTCGTTTAAAACGTCCCTCATACACGATACACTTCCCCTATTTGAGTCGTCAAAATTCGTCGTTGCGGCATTATTATCCGCCCCTTGCGTCGTACTCACCGTAGCAGGCTCACGCTGAAAATCTGATAACGTCGCTGCCCTTGTGAATTTTTTTGGCCGTGTTGGTACAATTCCCACTTCCGCCCCGGGCAGAACGCAGCGCCCGGCGGAAACAGGCGCAGTCCAAAGACATATCTCCTCGATATTAACGTTGGTAACGTGCTTCTGGTGTTCCACCTGAGCATCGTCGCCAAAAGCAAAAAGATCACTCCAGAGCATTCCCCTGTCTGTCAAATTCTGCATGTTGGACGTCAGCAACGAGCTGGAATTGCGTTTGGTAAGGTTGTTAACGAGGGCTGCATGTGATTCCGACACCCGCCTCACACTAAGTCCATGCGAGGTTCCACGAGATGCTGCTGCGTCATATTCGATGCTAGAAGTGATTGGAAGGCCAAAGGGACGCCACCCGGTGCGAGATAATGCGGAATAATTGGTCGCATCCACTCGCAAAGGCTCTCGGGGCAACTGACCCATCACCTCCAGGGGTGATCGATCGCCATGCATGACGTGGGCCCGGTAATCGTTACCCTCAGCACAGCCATCTGGCACGCCCGCAAAGCTTTGGCTTGGGTGGTTACGGGAACCATCCCTCCCGCTCGCGTGCATCCCTCGCTGCACTCCCACGGCGGCCGCCAAAAAAAAAAAAACGTGCAAAAATAAAAGTGAGTCAAAACAAAAACAAAAAATCTCGTAAAGAACACTGCTGTTCTCGTTTGTTCCTCGTTCTTGTGTATGTGTCTGTGTGTATGTGTCTAAGTATCTACTCTATTATTCTGTGCTTTGCTGCGCGCCTTAAAGGAGCCAAAAGAGAATTGAAAACGCAGCAAACTGACGGGCAGCAGTACAAAAAAAAAAAAAAAAAAAACGAGTACTGCACCGCGCTACAATGAAAAACGCGTAAAAGAGACAATTAAAGAAAATTAAAGCTTTGTGAAGTTTGCGCGTCTGCGTCCGTGTGTTTGCAGATAAATTAATGCGCCTCATCAGAGAGAAGAGGAAACACATCCGCAGGCTGAGTTGACGCCGCGTCTTTATTCCCGGAGGAGCCGATGGGCCAACAAAAAAATATAATTCTCTTCTCAGTCCCCGATGCTTTCGAAGTGCCACCCACGCCGTGCCGCCATTCGCTTCTCTTAAAAAATGGCAACGACGCACCGTGTGAAAAAACTGCTCAAAACAACAATGCCACACAATCATGGTCCGTGTGAGCAAGTACAAAAGAACGATAGGCGTACCGAGGTGAAGAATCCGTGGCGCCATCACTCTTGCCAAGAGCAGATGAAACGGAGGGGGACAAAGAGCGCTGTCCCGTCATGAGTTCCAGCCCGGCAGGGTTCCAAACGACACGATCGCACCAGGCAGGAATGCGCTGACGGGTGTATCCACGCGTGGGTATCGCTGTAATACGGGGAAGCACAAGTGATGGCTTTGCCTCACCAGTGCCCTTCTCTTTTCCCGCCGCTTTTTTTCTCCTCTCGTTCCCTAACTTTGGATCATCGTCCTTGACTCCATATTCACTCGCCTCTACATTAACACCCGACATCTCAATTTGTTGCTTCTGATTGCTTTTCGCGAATTCCCTCTCAGGAATACGTGGGAACGTTGGAGGAAAACGAATGGCGAACTCTGCCAGCTCCACACCGCTCTGTTGTGCCACCACATCCATCAAACGCTGCAGCTCCAAATCAAACTTCTTTATCATTCCCGCGTTTTGCGGTTCCGTAAAAAGTTCCCAAAATCTATCCGGTGCCTGTACTTCTTTTACCAATATTTTGACGTCTATCTGTTGAGTCTCCTTAAGGTGCTTCAGCAAGTTGTGAGTGTCCAGACGGGCATTAAAGTCTCCAAAAATAAACAGCGGATCCTCTGGCGAAATAAAAACCATACATTCTGCCATCGCCTCCAAAAGCGCCTCCTGACGTTGCACCGAGTACAGACTTGGGCTTGCCATTGCCGCATCGGTGTTTCGGCTGTCATGATATAAATGGACGTTGAGGTAATTTACCACCACCGTGCCAAAGCGCAGTGAAGTCAGCAGAAATCCCTTGCGACCCGATCCCGCACCTGAGAATTTTCCACCGTGAAAGAGGAATGTCGGTGAGCTGCCGTACGTCGCAGGATCATCGGCAACAGCAACAAACGTGCGGTGTCGGAACGAAAGAATACTACTGATCGGGCACATGCGAGACGACAAGAACACAATCGACCCCAAAGCCGTAAATCGCTGCATGTCGCTGTTCGTCTCCATGAGAAGACCCGACGACCACGCCGCCTCCGGCAGCAAAGTCTTCAGAGCCTCCGCAAAAAAGGCATTAAACGCGGTATTTAGCCCCTTCCCACCAACCTCCTGAAAGTGCACAACAATAACGTCAAGCAGCGGCGGCACCTCGCTGCTGGGACCGCCGGCATCCGCCGCTGACGATGCGCCGCCCTCCGCATTCAACTTCTCCTTTCGAAGGTGTAAGACAAATTCACGACTACTCGCCTCATGAATCAAAAGGCGAAGCTCCAACAAAAAATCCGCTACACGCGTCCGCACAGCGTCGGATATTCCCTTTGTGGTTGCCGTCTCTGGACCACCGCCAGCAACCTCTTCTCCATTCCCACCATCACATCTGGAACAAATACACCCAATGTTCTGCGTCAACAGAAGCATCGTGAAGGGCAAATCGGGTAACTTCTCCGCCGCAAACGAACAAGAGATGTTACTGCCACCGTATAACGAAGATCCCGGAAGAGAACCCGCTGCGCTTGCACCAGTGGAGCCTCCCTGATGATATGACGGAGCGACGGTAACGCCCGTACCACCCACAGGACCCTGAGACGATTGTTCATTTTGCTGTTGCTGCTGCTGCTGTGGAATCCGCAGTGCGGAAGTAATGCCATCCAATAAACTGCGCATCACAGAGACCCTGCTGCTCTTTAAATAAAAAAAGCCTCGGGTGCACCCACTCAAGCTCGGTCTCAATCGTCAAACTAACAGTAATGCCTGCAGCCAGGTGCCTCAACACGCCAATTCCCTTTATTCCAAAAGGCAGCAAAAAAAAAAAAAAAGGAAAAAAAGAAAATATATATATATACAAAACACAATTATATGCTCCGTGGGACCCTTTCCAAAGAAATCCGGCAGAGCAGTCTTGCCTCCCCAACCATTCACCTCCCACATCTCCAATACAAATAATAAAAATAATTATAATAACCAATGTTATTATTATTATTATTGACGATGCTTATAATGCTAATAATATCAAAAAAAAAAAAATCGTAAATACAAAGCCCACACACACTCGCCTTATGTTTGAAATCGTTTTCCTGCTCTCATCCTCTGTTCTTATTGACCCCACCACCCCACACTGTTTTATTTACCACCTCATGCCTCCTTGCACCTCATTCACCCGCCGTCTTGCATCCACCAACTCCTAAAAAAAAAAAAAAAAAAGAAAAGAAAGAAGAAAGTAATAAAACTAAGGATTCTGCAAATAAAATTAAAAAAATTCGGATAGTCAAAATCGTTGCACAAAAAGCAAATTGAAACAAATGCAAAGGCTTCGCCACAAAAACCCCGGAAATAAACGCGCAGAAAAAATACGCTACCAAAAAAAAAGAAAATTGTAACAATTAGCCACTATAAAAAAAGTAATTAAAAAATGAAGATGACTCAAAAAAGACGCACCCATTGTGGAACAAACGCCCATATGAACGTCAGTTGGAAGCCAATTTCGTGGATTCATCCGTGCCACAAAGGCACATCCAATAAATGAGCACACAATTCAATCCACTTTCACAGTTATCTCCTACGATCCCCCGTCAAAGGAAAGACAGAAATACCCTCACGAGCAATTGCCAGGAAAAAAAGGCAAACGCACAATAATGCTCCCTGTTCTTCTTCGACACAACATCTGATTCCCTGTTTCCCCCTCTTATTTTCTTTGTCCAATTACCTTCATAGCTCCCGAAGAACCTCCAACCCCACCAAATGCCAGTGCACGCACATACACAGGTGCACAGGACAAATGTAAACAAGAAAACAAAAATATTTACCCGACCCTCCCTCATGTCTGCTCTCCCCCTCTGCTCATTAAAACTCTCGCAGTAAATATTGTAAAACGCGTTGTTAAAAAAAAAATGCATATATACATATATATGCGTACATCGCACCGTAATGCCTCAAAATCCTTCTACAGCTTGGCGGCGATCGCCTTGTATTTTTGTTCCATTTGTCTTTTTTCCTTCAGTGCGGCGTGAGCAGCGGCCACAGTGGCGACCGGCACACGAAACGGGGAGCACGAGACATAGTTCAGGCCGACCTTGTGACAGAATCCAATCGTCGTTGGGTCACCACCGTGCTCCCCGCAGATACCCATCTTCAGCATCGGCTTCACACGACGGCCCTTCTGGACGGCGATACGCACAAGCTCACCAACGCCTTCCTGGTCAATCGACTCGAATGGATCCTTGCTGTAGATGCCCAAACTGCAGTAATGGCGCAGGAAGGAGCCGGCGTCGTCGCGCGAAAAGCCGCAGCCCATCTGTGTCAGATCGTTGGTACCGAACGAAAAGAAGTCTGCTTCCTCTGCAATCTGATCAGCCGTGATAGCAGCACGTGGCACCTCAATCATTGTGCCCACAATGTAGTCCACGCGTTGGCCCGCAGCCGCAAGGGTCTCCTCAGCCGTCTTCACCGCCTGCTGCTTCGTGAAAGTCAGCTCCTCTTTCTTGCCAACCAGCGGAATCATGATCTCCGGAACGACCTTGCAACCCTCCTTGCTCACCGCAACCGCAGCTTCCATTATAGCCTGCACCTGCATGTTGTAGACTTCGGGGTACGTGATGCCCAGGCGGCAGCCGCGATGGCCGAGCATGGGGTTCATCTCATGCAGCGACTTCACACGGTTGCGGATCTTCTCCGCAGAAACATTCATCTTTTTTGCAAGCTCCGCCTGCGCCGCATCCTCGTGAGGTACAAACTCGTGCAGCGGGGGGTCCAGCAGACGGATTGTCACCGGCAAGCCTTTCATTGTCCTGAAAATGCCCAAAAAGTCGCCGCGCTGCACGGGCAGCAGCTTTTGAATAGCAGCCTTGCGACCCTCCAGTGTGTCAGCAAGAATCATTTCCCGGATAGCGTCAATGCGGCTGCCCTCAAAAAACATGTGTTCAGTGCGGCAGAGACCAACACCCTCCGCGCCAAAGCTGCGAGCCTTAGCCGCATCATTCGGTGTGTCCGCGTTGGCGCGCACGCCCAGGCGCTTCACCTCACGACACCACTCCAAAATCGTCTCAAAGTCGCCCTTCAGGTCCGGTGACTGCAGTTTCAATTGACCGGCATAAATGAGACCCTTAGAACCATCAAGCGTGATATAATCACCCTCGCGGAACACACGGCCGCTCAACGTAAACTGCTTGCCCTTGATCACCAGATCGCCGCAGCCAGAGACGCAGCACTTGCCCATGCCGCGGGCCACCACAGCTGCGTGGGACGTCATGCCACCACGTGCAGTCAGGATGCCGCGCGCCGCATCCATTCCTGCGAGGTCCTCCGGTGAGGTCTCAAGGCGCACCATGATTACTTTCTTGCCGCGCGCGCTCCACTCCTTTGCAGAATCCGCGTCAAACACGATCTGGCCCACAGCAGCACCAGGGCTCGCTGCGAGACCCTTGCCAATCGGTTTGTTGCTCTTTGCCGCGCCAGGCTCAATGTTCGGGTGCATCAGGTGGTCCACCTGCAAAGGGTCAATGCGCAGCACAGCCTCCTCCTTCGTGATGAGACCCTCACGCACCATATCAATGGCGACACGCACCGCCGCATGAATCGTGCGTTTGCCGTTGCGGCATTGCAGCATCCATAGGCGGCCATCTTGCACGGTGAACTCAATGTCCTGCATATCGCGATAGTGATTCTCCAGTTTCGCGCGAATCTCGCACAGAAGCCGATAGTTCTCCGGCATCGTCTCCTCCATCGACGGATAGCGGTGGCGGCGCTCCTCCTCACTCACGCCATGGCTCTTTGCCCATCGGAGTGAGAGGCTCTGACCAATCTGCTGTGGCGTGCGAATGCCAGCAACCACGTCCTCGCCCTGCGCATTCACAAGGTACTCGCCAAAGAAGAAATTCTCGCCAGTGCTGGGGCTTCGCGAAAAGGCAACACCGGTGGCCGAGCGGTCATTGATGTTTCCAAACACCATCGCCTGCACGTTCACAGCGGTGCCAAGCAGTCCAGTGATGTTGTTCAGGCGGCGGTACACCACAGCACGCGGGTTGCCCCAGCTGCGGAACACGGCATTAATGGCGGCGAAGAGTTGCGTCATCGGATCCTCTGGAAATGGAAATCCAGTTTTGCGCTGAAATAGTACCAAGTATTCCTCTGTGAGTTCCTTCAGGTCCTTCGCTGTCAGGTCCGTGTCAAACTTTGTGCCGCGCTTCTCCTTCATGTGGCCAATAGCCTCCTCAAAGTCCTCACGGCCAACCTGCATCACGATATCGGCGTACATTGTGATGAAACGGCGGTACGAGTCGTAAACAAAGCGCTCAAGGTGGGGTGCACGACGGATCCACGCCTCAGCCGTCGCCTTGTTCATACCAAGGTTCAAAACGGTGTCCATCATTCCTGGCATCGAAGCGGCAGCGCCGGAGCGCACAGAAAAGAGCAGCGGATTCTCAACGTCGCCAAAATTTGTGCCCATATCCGCCTCGACGCGGCGTACGTTTGCCTTCACCTGCTCCACCACCTCCTGTGGCAAGCCCTTGGTTCTCTGGTATATGCCGCACACCTCCGTTGTGATCGTAAAGCCGGGCGGAACGGGGATGCCAAGGTTCACCATTTCGGCAAGGTTTGCACCCTTGCCACCAAGGAGCTCCTTCATGTCGCGATTGCCGTCAGCCTTCTGGCCGCCAAAGTAGTAAACAAACTTTTTGGATTCCATAATGCCTTTTTTTTTCCTTTATTTTTTATTTTTTTTAATAATGCTGAATTTTAGAAAAGATAATTTTTTTTTTCGAATGTTGAAAGCTTCTTTGGTCAAAATAAACAAGCAGGAAGAGAAAGGATTAGAGTCAATTTAAGGAGTGTATTTTCTGCTTGGTGTCACCCTACAGTATGATTACTCTTATTGAAGCAGAAATTAATGCCTTTTTGTTGTTGTTGTTCTTGTTGGTTTTTTGCACTTTTGGGTAGCTTTTTTTGCTACCGTTTCCAGTGTTCCCCACCACAAGGCTGTCTAACCGTACGCAGACACCTAGTTTTACATCAATATTTGTCTTTTTCGGTGTTTTTGTGTGCTTCAAGGGGTTAGCCGGTGCTAATTAATTTTCTGCTACTGAAAGCACGCTTAACGTGTATGCGCCAAAAACAGGTGGCACCTGCGGGTCTTTGCACCGTACGCCAAGATATACCACAAGGTCATCTTGGATTGCGGCCTCCATAAAGAGTTTTTGCGCAGCAATGGTTTCCGCTGAAATGAAGAGCCGCAGAATGCCTGACCCGTGTAGTTTGCTCGTGTAGACAAGATTTAAGCCGTGGAGTCGAAGGGCATTTGCAGTGTAACGCGTTTGATCCGTTCGCGTTGGTGTGAGCGTCGTGGGCATCGTCCACGACGGTGCATGAAGCTGCTGAAATTGATGGGCAAAAAAACCATAGTCGATGCTTGCAGCAGGAAGTAGCAGCATGGCGGGCGGAACTGTAGGTGCAAGAAAATAACGGGTACCGATTGGATCGACGTTGACTGCGACGAGCAGATCACGCATTGGTGATTTCTCATTGTTGGTACCTGTCATCAGTTGTAGTGTTTCTGGTTCCTTCTCCCCTACCTCAAGCTCCACAACAGGGCATTCTTGCGCCAAACCAAGTGCATGTATGTTCCTATTGATTTGAAGCGCACGTACAACGGCATGTCGTGTGTATCCTTCCCCGGAAACAAGAGAGAAGTGGCAGTTTAGCAGCAGCTTGTTGCCGAGCTGCGACCAACACATACGCACCTCCAGCCCGTTGCCCTCGTCTGCTGGCAAGGCCACATGCATGGATTCTTTGTCTCGAATATTGGGCCCCTTGCTAACAAGGTTATTAGCCATTGTACCTGCCATCTCATCATCACAAACTACACGTCGAATGAATTTCTCCCCAAAATGATCCCCCGCATCTTCCTCTTCCTCGTCATTTTCGTTCAGACCCGTCTCGTTGCTGTATATGAGATGCAGTGGGCGATGCAGCACCGCCGTAAGACTTCCAACGTCCGTCAAAAAGCTCTGCAGTCGGCGTTTCTCCAGTGTATCTGCCATGGTAAATGATAGACCCTTCGAGAAGGTGAAAACAAGTTTTTTTGCCGCCTCAGTGTCGCTCGTAACAAGGCGCCAATACATGAAAGCGCGATCACGTACATCTGGCCGCGGCGACTGCGTCGCCATGGAAAGCACGCGTTGAAGGAAATTCGTGCTACGCCCCATGTCTTTGCATTCGCTAGAAAGATAAATTTTCATAGCGGCAGTGAGAAGTGCAAACTGCACAATCTCCGGCTGGGTGGAAAAAGACTCTGCACACATCTCCAGTATGTCCCCCGCATTTTCCACGTGTTCGGCGTGGTCGCCAAGCACCCACACGACGGCGGCTTTGGACTCGGGGCTCCGCAGCTCGTCCAAGATTTCACAAAGTTTTCTGACAACACGGAGAAAACGGTTAGGATAACGTCGCAAAATGGTCTGCACCACAACTGCCGCTTCCTGCATAACGTGACTCATGCCGGTATCAATGAGACCCAAAAGCCTTTCGACACACTGTTCCGCCAGGGGTTCTAACTTCGCCGCGAGAAACCCAATAAGACGCACTGCCTTTCGAACCAACTCCTCATCCGCGTCGGTGGCATAGGCCGCAAACTCAGAGAGAATTATCTCCCCTACTTCAATATCGGCGAGCTCAAGGAGCAGCTCAGACTTTTCCAGTTTGATGTAAATCGGGTCATCATACTTGACAAAGAAGGGACCTAAATGACGCTTAAAAAAAAAAACCAGCCCAGTCTTCAAAAGCAAACGGATGTTGCGAAACGCCGCATATCGCACCTCAAGAGAACATTCATATAACAAAGACACGCATGCTCCAACCAACTTGGGACCGTACCTGTCCCGCAGTTGAGACGCCTTCTCAACTTTATTGGAACCATCATTTCCATGGGCAGACAGTGTAAAGAGAGCAGATGCTTGTAGCAGAAATGACGTCATAGCCTTGACTGCTGACATAACGGTAGCAACATTAAAAGAAGAAAGAAAAGGCATTACACCATCAATAATCTTTTCAGCCCTCTCCATATCCAACATGAGTGAATTGTTCTTAAAGGCAACTGCAACTCCCTCAATAAGATAATGCTGGTACCAACCCGGGGCATCACTGGCAGCTTCAAGCACACGAGAAACGTTTTCTACAATAGCCTCCTCAAGAGAAATCGGAGCATGCCGCTGACGAAGTTCCAAAATGGCTGCCACGGCTGATGCTACCACGCACGCATTTTCATCATGGAGCTGGTTCTTCAGCTTCTCCAAAAGTCCAAGCTCTTCGCAAACGTTTGGGGCAATGTAAAATAGTTTAAGAGTACCAAAGGCGGCGATGCGGCGGACGTACGGATCACTGTCCTCTAAGCAGCGTTGAAGAGGGGCGGTGATAAAATCCACCATAACGGGAACCAAGAGAGACGTCATCGTACGCAACGCCGCCCCACGAATAAGTGGCGAGTCATTAACTGTATCCTTCACAAAGACCCCGGCCTGCAATACTGCCTTTTGCGGCTGGGCATGACTGTTGTGCATGAGATACAAGTATACAAGACGTTTAATAGCAAGATTTGTAGATGAACATAGAGGAGCGATGTCACTAAAGTGCCCGGACATGTCTCTTCCTATAGTCATAAAGGCGACTACCTGCTGTAGCGCAGAGAGCTGACGCGGTGTATTTTGGCTCAGAAGGTCCTCACGAACTATCGTCGAGTCAAACGCACGACTAAACAAAGCAGAGCCGCTCAGTTGGTTAACGCTGAGCATCCTTTTTTCTTTTCTCTTTACCGGGCGCTCCTGTAAAAGCACAATGGCACAAAGAAAAAAAACCGATTTGACAGGTAGCAAGCTGAGAAGCCAGTCAAAATGTGTAGCCAAACTGCCCAATGGTGGAATAAAAAGTCAAAAAAAAGTGCGTGTAAGGGGAAAAAAGGTGTCAAACCCCCACAACTCCTTCTTGGGAAAGGGAAAACAGCGGGCAAAGTTTGCCACCAGCAATCCTCACCCTAAAGGCAATATATATATATATATATATATCTTCACCTCGTCAAATCCCACAATCCGCGTTGTTGTTGTTTTTTAGCCCTTTCAGACAATGAATTTCATGCAACGTGTTGCATCGTGCGTCACGTGGCACTTGATTGAGCAAAACAACGCTCCACGACAGCGCACACACTTGTAGCTCGCAGGAAGAAGACATACCGAACAAAGATGATACCCACCAAGGTGTAAAGGTGGTGGCGCTGCCATTGCCATGTAGCTCGGCCCTGGCACGGTCAACTCCAAAGGGATGGATCGCCGTGACTGCAACCAGCCGCCAAGATTCCGACGCTCTCGCCCCACGTCGCTAACAGTTTGCACCACATTGACAGATATTTTGTTGACATGAACGCCTCCATCATGCAGCTCTTCTCGTGCCTGCTTTTTCCTCCCCCGAGAACGACTTTCAAAGTCACGGGGCCGCTTGACACGATTTGTGGTCATGTCCGTGTCGCCATCCTCTGATGAGGAAGAAGAAGAAGAGGGCTCAGCTGCAGACGCGCCATCTTCCTTCTTGTGATCGCGCCGATCCTCCTCCAGCGCCCTGGTGTAAGCACGATGCTGTTCCATCAGACAACGGCTGAGGTGAACCCTTGGTGGCGCGGAAGAAAAATCAGCGCTCGGTTCCAGAAAGTTCACCTCTATATCCACAGCGTTCACGAGAGCCCCATCACGACGTTGCCGCTTAAAAACCTCCGTCACATTTACAAACGCGTTGTCATCACAAAGTTTTGCAAGACGCTCTTCTTGTAAAGACTGGGCAAAAATATCCTGTGCATTACCAAAACCCATCCCGTACAAGCACAGAAACCCCCAAAACCCACACTCCACCTTGCAACAAAGCACCACAACTATTCATAAAGAGGGGGGGAAAAGACAAAAACAACAGAAAGAAATGACCTCTGTGTCCTTCAGCAGGCGCTTCGCCCTCACACTTATGCCTGTGTGGAGGTACATAAAGCTAAACAAAAAAAAAGTGTAAATTAAAAAAAAAAAAACGATTGGAGACAGGAAGAAAGACGACAGTGAATTGACAAACCGCCCTATTCTTTACCGATTGGCCTTGGCAACACGCTCCACCTCATCCTTCTTCTTGATGGCATAAGAGTTGGAGCTGCCCTTCGACGCGTTCACAATCTCATCGGCAAGACACTCAGGCAGTGTCTTGAGGTTGCGGAAAGCAGCCTCGCGGGCACCCTTGCACATTAGGTAGATCGCCTCGTTCACGCGACGCATTGGCGAAACATCGACGGCCTGGCGACGCACCACACCACCCGATCCCACACGAGTCGAGTCCTCACGCGGCGCACCCTTGGACACGGCGTCAATCACCACCTGCAAGGGGTTCTGGTCAGTCAGCAGGTGAATGATCTCGAGCGTGTGCTTCACAAGACGCACAGCCTGAAGCTTCTTGCCATTGCCGCGGCCCTTGAACATCAGGCCATTCGTCAGGCGCTCCACAATAGGGATGCGTGCCTTGCGAAATCGCTTCTTTTGCCAGCGGCCAGCGGAGTGGGGCACATACGTTGCCGTCTTCGAAATGTGGTCGCTGAGAGCAATCTCCGTCGTCTGGAGGTTCTCGTAGGACCACTTGTTGAAAAGCTTCGGGGCCTTTGCGCTCATCACTTATCTCTTTTTCCTAGCCCCAACTCAAGAAAAAGTAAAAGACAGCGACGCGTCAACCAACATCACACCATAACAAAATGACATCTTCCACGGAGAATATTGTCAGTAGACAGCACACACAGCAAAATGAAAAGACAAGCGGTAAAATAAAAAGTGCAAATAAAGAAAAAGAAAAAACACCAAAGGTTCATTGCATTGATTCCGCCCTATTCTTTACCGATTGGCCTTGGCAACACGCTCCACCTCATCCTTCTTCTTGATGGCATAAGAGTTGGAGCTGCCCTTCGACGCGTTCACAATCTCATCGGCAAGACACTCAGGCAGTGTCTTGAGGTTGCGGAAAGCAGCCTCGCGGGCACCCTTGCACATTAGGTAGATCGCCTCGTTCACGCGACGCATTGGCGAAACATCGACGGCCTGGCGACGCACCACACCACCCGATCCCACACGAGTCGAGTCCTCACGCGGCGCACCCTTGGACACGGCGTCAATCACCACCTGCAAGGGGTTCTGGTCAGTCAGCAGGTGAATGATCTCGAGCGTGTGCTTCACAAGACGCACAGCCTGAAGCTTCTTGCCATTGCCGCGGCCCTTGAACATCAGGCCATTCGTCAGGCGCTCCACAATAGGGATGCGTGCCTTGCGAAATCGCTTCTTTTGCCAGCGGCCAGCGGAGTGGGGCACATACGTTGCCGTCTTCGAAATGTGGTCGCTGAGAGCAATCTCCGTCGTCTGGAGGTTCTCGTAGGACCACTTGTTGAAAAGCTTCGGGGCCTTTGCGCTCATGGCAGATATCTAATGTAATGGCGTCCAAAAAAAGAAAAAAAAAAAGAAAAAATAATCATGATTCTTGTTTCGTTAAATAAATAAACAAATAAAGGCGACATACCCCGTAGAAAATAATAAAAAAAAAAAGTCACTTGATTTCAAAATTATCGGCCGTTAACGGCAGACTGTGAAATCAAAAAAAGTCTTCCTCACCACCGCTTCCCTCGGGTCCATCCAAATCACCGCCGTCGTCATCGTCATCGATATTATAGGACAATGATGCCTCATCATCCTCTCTGTCAAAACCACCACTTCCCTCCTCGTTCCGGTCGTCGTTCTCGCGCCTTGGTTGCGCCCTATTCCCACCTTCAGTTTCTCCCTCTTCGCCTACAATTCGTCTTACTTTTTTAATCTCCTGAGCGTCTTCGGTGCAAGCAGGAGGAAGAACAACCACCTTCGTTCCTCGTCGTATCGGCTTCACGATGCGTTTTCGTTTGGAAGGACGAATGCGAAGACGATCCACCGCGGCAGTTGACATGTCGCCAGTAGACTTTGCCAGTCCATATATTCTGAGTTCAGCTGGAAGCCCCAATGAATCCTCCCAGCGACGTATTTCGTGATCTCCAGCGGTCGAAACATGTGCTGCATTTTTATCCGCTATGGGAGCCCCTGCGTCCTCATCTTTTCTGTTAACTCCAAGCAATGTTGGATAATGAAGCACATTGAGAGGTTCTTTCCCCGAATCCAAAATGGCAAAGGCACGAGAATTGGCCACATGTTGATTGCCATCAATAAAGCAACCAACAAAGTCACGGAGTAATGGCGGAGACTTTTTATCCATCACTGGGCCAACGCCCTGTGGAATTGCCTCTCGTCCACGTGTTTCACCAACTCCATCGTCAATGCTTGGCACGATGACTCCCGCCGAAGAAGAAGCGGCAACGCCAGATTGTTGGGTGTAGTAATGGTACACACGAGGTGGATAAATTGCCTCGGAATAGCTGTTCACCGCCCCTGGCTGTGGAAGCCTGTCAAACCGCCCCCTTCTAAAGCCACCACGCATATCCGAGCGAAATGACCCCTTTTAACAACAAATGGACAAAAAATAAAAAATAAATAATGCACAAAGTGGCAAACAAACAAAAGAAGAAAAAAAAAGTGAACAGAACGAAGAAATCTCCTCACAGTTCCATTGCAGAGGAAGTGTCTTGCGATTTACGTGTCCACATCGCAAAACTTTAAAAGCCGTGGTCGAAATGGCACGTTTGCACATGATCGTTCCATATCGGCCAAAAGTTTGAAAAAAAAAAACGAAAGAGAGAGAGAGAGAGAGAGAAAGAGAGAGAATATTTCAGACCACCTTATCGATGAATACAACCATTGTCGCTCCATAGGGATGCATCATCATCTAACACTTGGAAAGGGATAGACAGGAGAAAAGAAAAAAGAAAAAAAAAGTAAATTTGATAAATTGAGAAAACTAAAAATAAAAAAAAGTGGAAAGAAAATTCCAACGTCCATGTCGACAGCACACACACACACACACACACACACAGAGAGAGAGAGAGAGAGAGACATATATATGTATATATTAATATAAACCAAAGCTTATTTCTATCCATAGGGGGTGGGAAAAAAAGAAAAAAAGAAAACAATATAAAAAAAGAACGTCCATCACCTTCGACGACGGTGACGCTCAGTAGAGACACCACGACTTCTATGACCTCTGCGCCGGCCATCGTGATGCCGTCTTCGGCTTCCTCCACGGTGATGTCTGCTTCGGCTTCTATGGCGCCTTTCACGGTCTCTTTTTCGAGGTGGGGAAATTCGCCCTTGACTATGCTTTGAAACGTGTCGCATCATGCAATCGGATCGCAAACATCGACCCCTCAAATAATCACGACATATTTGACGTTCTTTAGGAACAAATGCGAGCCTTCTTTCTTGTTCTTTTTTCTCTGCACATTCATCTACGTTATGACCACGCAAATAACAAAAAGAGCAAACCACATCACTTTCAAATCTTTTCATTGAAGTTACAGCACCGTTTGGTTTATTAACTGCGAGCCCTCGAAGTCCCTTTGGAGGTTTCCCCGGGGGTGGTTTAGGGAAAGGACCGCTCCTCTTCTTTACACTGATCGTTGCAATCATTCCATTGGAAAGTTTATATTCCTCCGTTGGAATGATGAAAAAGCGCACCTCACCATCGTTTTCAGGAACTATATTTACAGGCGCCTTTTCTTCATTCGGTTGAGCCCCAATGAGCTTCAACAACTCCTCAGCTGAGGCTTCTTCCTGGACCTCATCCATCTTCTCAGTGAATTCCTCCACCCGACCAAACGAACTTTCATCCTGAACGTGTTTTAAAAGAAATTCCTCCGTCGGCTTCGGTGCGGGAACCGGAACTGGATTCACAGCGGGTTGTGCCACTTGTTGCGATTCACGTTGTTTCGCCTCCTCTGCCTCCAACTCCCGTCGTATTTTTTCAAAGGCCTCTTTCGCTAACTGTTCCTCTGCCTCTCGTGTGGCCTGACGAAGAAGTTGTCTCGCCTCCCTTTGTGTTTGAATCCGGTGGTTCCACCTAAGAAACATTGGATGCTCCGCCGACAGGAAACCATATCTCGGGGTCGTACGGAGAAGTTCATTGATGTCTGTGCTTGGCTTTCCGTTTTCAGTCTCTGCCTTTTCTTCATCATCCAAAATTTTTGCCATCAACTCAGACATGGCGCTGGTTGTCTGAAGCTTAATTATTAATGTAAGGTGTTGAGCCGCAATATCCTCAAAATCAGCGCGACAGCCAACAAACTGATTATTCACATAAATAATCATGTAGTGGGGCAATATGTTGGCTTTTGCGGCTGGAGAGCCACTTTCTGTCGACAAAACCTCCCCATCATCACTAATTTTTATCCCCAACACCGACAATGGCTCACTCGCATATTGTCTTTCAAGCCGGCGCACAATAATTCCATCCGCATCCGGTGGTGCGGAATTATCAATAAATGCGGTATTGGACCCACCGTATTTAAGCTTTTCAAGAAATGATTTGGCTGAATCATTCCCCTGCATCATCACTCATAACTTCGGCACAAAAATAATAAAAAATAAAAAATAAAAAAAGAAATGGCACATAAATTTACTGCAGAAATAAATATGCGTAGAACAAAAGCACCTTCCCTATGCAGGGGTTTTGGCAGGCGGACAGAAAAGAGAGCCAAAAGAAAAGACAAGGTTTTGCGGCGTCCTTCCTTGCACCTTTTCTTTTTTTATTCTTCTTCTTCATCTTCTTTGCCTCCTTCCACAGCGGTGCTCGCGCTCACTCGACAGCGCCAAAGAAACGGCCAAAGACAAATACGAAAAAAAAAAAAAAAAAAAGATGGACAGAATAAACCCAGCAGCGACAAGGCAATCAAAATGCAGGCTTATTATCAACAATAAAACAGCAGCACTCCAATCTCAGTCTTCTTCCTCCTCCTCCTCCTCGGCTCGTCCCTTTCCCATGAGAAACCGCAGCGCCTCCGCAACCGGAACGCGGCGCCCCCCCACTCGTTGGATTCCCTCGCACAATTCTGCCCCCTCGGAGTTGTGTTGCGGACAATGCCGGCGGAGCTCCATTTCTCTTTCCAGCCGCGCCTGGCTTCGTACCGCCGCTCGAGCCTCCTCGCGAACCCGCTGTTCTGTCTTCTCCTGGACTTCCCGGACCGCCAAACGCGCTGCGTGTACAGCCTGAAGAGCGCATCGAAGCTTTCCCTCTGTTACTGTGCCCTCACGAAGCAGAAGAAACGCTTCCCCCGCCTCCTCCACCATTTCGCCCCCTGCGCATTCGGCAAGCACCTCCATTCCCCCGCGCTGTTGCAAAACTGCCGCGTATACCGCCGGGTTGCCCAGCCGCAGCCTCCGGTACTTGGCCTCCGACGGGCAGCGAAGCACGTTTGTCAGAATGGTTTCCAGTTTGTCCAGGTTTATTTGGGACGAATAAAGCCCATCACCGGCGTCGTCCGAGCAAAATTCGCTCACAATGTATGAGCGCAGTTCCCCCACAGCCTTTGCCTTTTCGCAGCGTTCACGTCGCACCTCCAAGCTCAAAGTACGGCGCAACCGCAGAAAATCCTGGTTGCGTGCCACGACTTCTCGACTGCGCGTCCGTAGGAAATGGATTGCCCTCAATCCCTCCTCCAAAAAAGGTCGACAGGGCATCCCCGGAAGCCGCAACCACTCGTCGCCATCCCCATCATCAGACGCACACCTCGCAAATCCAATGGACTGCAGAAACCCCATGGCACCAGGAACTGAAAACAACTGAGAATGCAAGACTGGATTGCTAAGACGTAGACGTCTGTATTTCTCTTCTCCAGGAAACTGAAGAAGATTACGCAGAATCGTTTCAAGAACAGTGTATGCCTTTTCCCGTTGGGGTTGACCCGCGGCATCTTCACCAAATTCGCTAATGTTGACATTTGGAAATGGAGTATGAACCTCAGCTTCCTCCCTGCTTCTTCCCACCTCGCCTAACAGGGGAGCTGTTGCTGCAAGCGGTGTGTAGCTCTTGATTGTGACCTCCTTGGCTGCCTTAAACTCTTCCTTGGAAAGGGCACCGCTGGCAAAAAGCTCGGACAATCTCTGAATCTCCTCTGAAAGAGATGCCATAAGCCCAGTAAAAAACAGTCAAGGAATTGTTTCCCCTCCTTTATATATGTATATAAAGGGTCCCTCGGAAAAGGAAAAAAAATGGATCCCTGTTCCCCTTCTTGATTGGAAGCAAAAAAAAAAACAAAAAAAACAAGAAAGTAAAAAAGCAAGAATAAAAAATCACAAAACAAAAAAAAAAGAAAAAAAGACAAGAGACACTAAAAAAAAAAAAGGGAGAGAGAAAAAGAGAGACAAAAGAGAGAAACAAACACACAAAATGCTGTAAAAAAAAAAATCGGCATTTGCGCGTTCATCTCTTTCTTTCAGCCCAATTTTCTTTTCCTCTCGTTTTCTCGACCAAACCTCTTGAGCCGCATTGCGGTCACACGTGCACCCAGCCCTCATGGCGTTACGGCTGTGTCCCTGCAAGACGCAGCTGGTCGAATGCCGTCAGCCCTGCGCGAACAACAATGGCCCCGTGAGTGAAACGTTGCTGGCCCCTGGCTCAGCCGGCCACCTCAACGTGGTGCCAGGGTCTAGTACTCTCTTACTAGAGAGGAAGCTAAGCGCCTGCTGTTCATGCTTCAAACCCGATGAGTAGTTGTTACTTAGTTTTACGGGCCGGAAGGGCAGATGCTGGAGCCATTCTATAGTGGCTGCCCGCGGAGTAAGGTTATCCTTGCTACTGAATTCCTTCGTACGCTTACCAGAGCTGCACAATTGAGGTGTAGTTACTACGACTGGTAAAAGAAGAAAAAAAAAAAAAAACCGTTGCTGGCTCCTGGCTTCCCCGACAATACGGGGTAATTGACCCTGGCACCACGAAGACGACAGTGGTTGGCACCAACAGGTCTTTTCTCCCCCTACTCTCTATTATTTCTGTATGTGTAATCGCACGCCATAGAATTGTCCTTCAAGTTCTCTTCATTATTAGTTGCTTGTTCTTCTCTCTTTCACGGCTGCGCGCACCGCCTCCCCCAACATCCAAAGAAAAAAAGAGGTACTTCCGACTTCACTCGTTCCCGTAAAGGGCGAAACCGAGACAGTCTGCTGCTGATTACGTCGTCTACTAATCTCTTCCTCTAGAAGAGACATCGCGGCCTGAAAGACACCATGTAACTCAAGAAAAGAAAGGCCCCGCAACATCTCCATTGAGACGCGGATTTCCGCCGCCTTGTCACACTGTGCGATGGAAGAAGAGAAATCGGAGGAATTAATGCCGTTGCGCTCAACGATGACCGCGTGATCGTCCACCTCCTCCTCGCCTCTTGGGAGGGCCTCAGCGGCAGCCGGCTCCGTCTTCAGCTCGTCCCTATTAGCACTGCGCCCCTCCTCCCTCGTGGTTTCCTCCTCATTCTCATCCCCAATCTTATGCAAGTTATCATTTTCACGTACTTTAGGGGTTTTTCGGACCTTGCGACGCCGTCGACGACGATCACGGTAGTAACGATACGGCTTTCGTTTGCCTTTCACCGTGCTCTGCACAGCTCTGGATTCCGTCGGTTCTTCGATCCTCGGCTTCACATCGTCATTTGGAGAAATAGAGGATAGTGAGACGTCAGGTTCCGCTAGATCCTTGTACTGCTCACAGAACTGCACAACGTTACGATTGATCTTGTACAGATTCAGCACGGTTGTCTCTTTCAGCTCGAGAGCGCGACTGCGGTACCGCTGGTCCGTTGAGGAGCGCGTCCTAAAAAAGGTGCGTACATTCCGCACGAGCATGTCAATGTCGTCATGGTATTGAGAGAGGCTAGTATACTCTTCGTTCTCAAGCTTCTCCATCACATCACACAGACCAATTCGGCTTCCCTGGGTGTGTTGCCGCCACTCATCATAGAGGTCATGGCTCGGTGTGAAGTCAAGATCGGCACTGCAAAGAATAGAAAACTTGCGAGAAACAAGGTATTGACCCAGCCACTTCGACAACACATAACGTAACTGACGCCGGCGGTATTCCACACGCCGCCACAACTCAAGTGTGCCATGGCGGGCCGCACGCACTTCTTCCATGGAGGGTGGAGGCGGAGGCGAAATGTCTTCATGTAATTCTTCCCACACGGTATGCGTACAGTGTAATAACGCCAATTCCACCACATGAAACACGTATTGCAGAAAACGTTGCAAGTCATCAACTGAGGGTGCACATGGAACATTGCCGACTGTTTTGTGTATTTGTGTATTTAACCGCGTCCCACCAAAGAATCGAGAGAGAACGTCACAGTGAAGCGTAGGGGCAACGATCAACACATCCGAATCACGAAGAAGAGCAAGATAATAACAGAATGATTCCATTTGTTTCTTGTGTTGGGCTCTCTCTTCATCCGTCCCATCGCCTTCATTGCCCTCTTCATTAGTGATGGGGTAGCCATTCTCTGCCAGCCATAAATCCAACCCTTGTAGGAGAACCAGCGATGGACCAGAGGAGCGCTGAATGGCCATTATACAAGAGTAAATATGGCCCGAGGTGAAGCTGTTATTCAGTGGAAAACCAAGCTCCTCAAAGTTACCCGCACCTCCCTCAGGCACGGCAGAACCTGTGGCCGTCACCATCATCGGTGCACTTCCGCGGTCCACCACGAGGTTAGGAAGATTCAAGGTAAAAATACGAATTGATGGAAGTGCCTTGATAAAAGCCAGGGCAGCTTTCTCCAGGGCAAATTCATACGAGTCGACACCATACACGTTCCTCTCAACGGAAGAAGTTAAAAACAGCAACATTGGCTTTACAGTATGAGGAATGGGAAAGCCAATTAACTCCTGTACCGCATCGCCTGCATTACTGCAATCTCGTCGCTCATTTGCAAGTGCCTTTGCCGCACTTGGCCACATCGACGCCACATGCGACACCAACTTCATTCTAGTACTGTAAAGCAAGTGTTCAAGATGCTCCTCAAGACCTTTTACAATAGACTCCGTCCCACGACGCACAGAGGTTTTGAAGCGCTGGGCAGCCACAAAAAAATCCTCTTTTTGTATGGTAAGGGCATTGTTAGGAATTTGTAACCTCCGGCTGGTGACGTAAAGCTGAGGCAGGCTCGTTCGCAGGCGGTTAAGTCCTGCTTCTGTGCAGAGAGCTTGAATCTCTGCACCCGACCAACCCTCGCAGCGTGTGGTAAGCTCTTCCATAATCGCATTCCGATCGGGATGGTCCAATGGAAGTAATGGCTGTGTCACAATAGAAAGAATGTGTCGACGTGCAGCAGCATCGGGAAGAGGAAAGTAAAGCTCGCGATCGAGTCGCCCTGGTCGACGAAGTGCCGGATCAATCGTATCGGGACGATTTGTGGCGCCGATGACAATAACCTGGCCTCTGTCGTCCAGCCCATCAATAAGGGCAAGAAGTGTGGAAACAAGTGCCGCCTGTGACTGCTCCGCCTTGGCATGGCGTACCGGCACCAATCCATCGATCTCATCAAAAAAGATAATGCTCGGTTGTCGGCGTCTTGCCTCTTCAAACAAAAGACTAAGCTGCCGTTCACTCTCACCAACCCACTTGGAAAGAATGTCAGCACCTTTGCGCATAAAAAAGGCAATCTTACGCTGCGCACAGCTTGCAGCCTCATTTGCCAATGCCCGAGCCATAAGTGTCTTGCCTGTTCCTGGAGGTCCAACAAAAAGTACCCCACGTGGCGGCGTTAAGTTCATCGTCTGCAATAAATGCGGATATAGAAGGGGAAAAAGCACCATTTCGCGCAGCATCACAATATGACCAGGCAGGCCGCCCACTTTTTCAAAAGAAACTGAGGTGTCAATATGCAGTGGGGTGATGTCACCAAGCGGTGCGGGTGTCTCCGTTATCGACCGCCCTTCACCACCTTTCCCTGCACCTACCGGACCACCATGCGCTTCATTGAGGCCAAGAAACATGTCCTCCATGCGACGCCGATGCGTTTTGCATTTCTGCTTGTCTCCCTTCTTGGTTTTTCTTCCAGAGGCTTTCATCACTTCGTCAAGATAGTGGTTTATGGGAATATGCTTTACTGTACTCTCTTTGGCCTTCCTGAACACACGGCGGCCCTCACCTTCGCTTATACATCCTTCCGCCGAGGAAAGAGAAGATGGGTCTTCCACAAGCAATTCTTCATCCGCATCTTTTCCCCGTCCATTAGATCCTTCTCGCAATGAGTCATCTGTGATAAAGGAGTTAATGGATGGCTCTCGGACGCGCTTGCGGGGCAAGTTTGTAAACCGATTGCCATTGCATTTCCTCCCAAGTGACTGAAAGGATGCAGTGCCATCTTCAGTTCCGTCGTTTGAACTGCTTTCATCGTCGCCATCGCCATTATTGTCCTCCAGAGGCCAGAAATTCCTCCTGGTGCGCTCACCCAATGAATGCAGAGTTGAACTCATCCTGAGAACAGCCCGTTTAGCTGCATCCCGCTGCGGGTATCGGGAGTTTATTTGCAGCTCCTCATTCTCCGCACGTCGCATCGCTGATGGCAATAGGGCCTTCCTGACGTACATTGAGTCGTACGACGCGGGGGGCTCCCGAGGAATGCGGCAACCCCGGCCCAAGCGCTCCTGGGTCGAGTTCTGATTGTCATCACCCACGACACCCGGTGCATCGTCTTTGTTACCATTGCTCGTACAAATAAGAGAACGAGCCTCTTTTCTCGACTGCGAACGAGTTATAACCATTTTCCACACCTCCCCCTATCGTTCCTAGGAGAAACACACCCACGCAGAGAGAAGGAAAAAGGCGGATTTTCTCTTCTCCTTTACGCTATTTGTCCGCAAGTAAAATAAAGGAGATAAAAGGTAAAAATAACAAATTAAATTTTTAAAAAAATTAAAAAAAAAAGAGGGAAAGAGAAAACAATGGCGATATCTGTAAGAAAAGAAGCCGGAAATAAGCAGCTGGAAAAAAAAAACAATACAGCACCATCGCCACCAGCCCCTCAATTATCAAAAGGGCACAAGCAAGATGCGTGTGTAATAATTTCCAACTTTGCTTTTTTCCCTTGTTTAATAAATACTTATTCGACTTGTGGCCTTCAGTAGGCCATTGCATTTGTTTTTTTATTCTCCCTACAAACACACAAATAGTACTACCGGATACGCATGTCATCTGTGGCTTTTTTTCTTCATTCATACATCCTTTCCCCCATCCCCTCTTACACGTTCCGAAAAACAAAGTAGTTATGTATATGTTTGTGTGTGTGTGTGTGTATGTCCTTCCCCATCGTTATCACAATAATCATTTCATCCCCGGCAGCCACTCACATGTTTCACTTCCACATTTTTCTCTATTTCCACTTCTTTACGGAAGAAGAGGATGTGAACCCCGCGGCACGTTCCATCTCCCGCTGCTTCTGCAAACGTTTGCGGGCGGCTTCACGCCGTTGCTGCCGCTTGGCCTCTACCTCCTGCTGAACCGCCACCAAGTCATCGCGCGCCTTGTGCTTCACCTCGCTATCCTCAATCCAGTCGATATTGTGCTTCAAGGCCACAGCGGCGTCGCGACGCTCCTGCAGACGAGTCTTCTCCATGCGTTTGTTCCATACCGCCTCCTGGCGCTTCTGTTTGATCTTTTCCACACGCTTCATGACCTTCAAAGTGTCATGGAGCAGTTCACGGTTGTATTTGACAGGAACGTGTCGGCGCTGCTCAAAGTCCATTGTGCTATCCACCGCAAGCTCCTTGCCGTTCGCCTTGCGGAATGTCTTGGTCCACTTGAGCTTCATGGGGTTGCGCTTCATGCCAAAGTTCTTGCGGCACTTCGAGGCACAAAAACGGAATACCTTGCAGTCATTGCGCACAAACATTTGACCGTGCCCCGGGTAGATCGGCGCCCCGCAAAAGGAGCAGTGTTCAATCCTCATCGCCACGCTATCCCCGTATTATCACAGAGCTGTATGTCCGTGTGTCGTTAAAAGAAGAAATCCAAAAAAAGTCAGACGGTGAAAGTGAGGCACAAGAAACAAACGCAGAAAACGGAAAAGAGAAAAAAAAGAGGAAGAAAACAAAAACATAAAAGAAAAAAAGACGTTACACCGTAACAAGGGAAGGACGCCTCTTCCGCGGTGGACTCAGGCATTGTACACGTGGCCAAATGGAAGAAAAGAAAAAGATTTTCTTCTTTCACGCTGCGGTCTTTCCAAAATACCCGATGCACTTCCTTCCCTTCGGCCTATCATACATGTTCACTTCTGGGAGCGTGAGTAGCCCTCCACATTTTGTTCCCGTTCCTCATCACCATCCTTGGAAGAACTACCGCGCGCACGCGCGTTTTTATTTGCGTACTTACGCATTACTCATATATATATATATATATATATATATATATATATATATATATATATATATATATGTTACTTTTTTTCTTACATTGTTGGCGTGTTTTTTTTTCTTTTTGTGTGATTATGTGCCGGGTGCAAGTACAAAAATTGATCACAAGGATAATAATAATAATAATAATAATAATAATAATAAATATAGTAATGAATGTGTGCGCAGAAGTTCCCGCTCTGCCTCCTCCCTTTGATGCAAGCACGTACACGAACATGCATATGCACTTTACTTTCCATATGGCATCAAAATCGCATTCAGCAGCAGACGCCTTCGCATCTCTCCAATCACTTCGCCCTCGTCGGTGCCGGTGTCTTCTTCAGACAAGACGCCCTTTTGCAAGTCGCAGTTAATGTCAATTAGTGAGGGACTCTGGTAGACTGTCTCCTGCAAGAGCTTCAAGAGTGACAGCTGCTGATGGCGTTGTGCTGCGGGATCGAGCACAGCATCTTGGCCAACTGGGCGTAAGGTCGCAACTTTTTCTAACTGTGCTGGGTACGAAGAGGAAATGTAGAAGGCCTCAATGCCAGGCTTTGTTGCCAGTGCCTGCACCATCTGATCAATATCCTGTTGATTGATTTCCGGATTTCCACTGAGGTCAATTCGCCGCAGAGAATTGTTAGACTTGTTCCCACTACAAAGCTCTGCAAGAAGGGGCCCATGAACACCCTCAAACTCGTTGTAACTGAGATTTACATATTCAAGTGATGGGTGCTTAATCAATACCTGCAACAATTCCTCCACTCCCCTCACTTGCGCTTGTGGGTCGCTACAGTATTGTTCCTTCAGGGAACCCAATTTATTGTGTGAGATATCCAGTTCGCACAGGCTTTCGTTCGCATCGATGCCCCGATGTAGTGCGGGAGCTGTTGTAATGCTGTTGTACGCCAAGGCAAGTCGATGCAGTACAGGAGAACTAATCAAAAGATGATTCACGGCCTCAAGGCCGTCACGAATGTTGTTACGGCTGAGGTCCACTTCACGAAGAGAGGTTGGCATTGTGGCAGAGGACGGGAACAAAACACGTAGGCCTGCCGCTTGAATATTATTGCTGCCGAGACGCAACACCGCCAACGATGGTCGATTGCCGCGTAGAGCCGTTCCATAAAGCGCCAGAGCTATGAGGTGCATCACCGTCGTATCGTGTGGTGCGGTCACATCGCCACAGGCATCATTACTTTCGAGATCTATCTCTTCTAATGCGGAGGCCGTACTTATAGTAGACAACATGGCGGCGCACAGGGTGGGACCAAGGTAGTTGCCCGCAATCGACAAACGACGTAATTTTGTGTTTCCATTCAGCGCCATACTCATTGCTTCCATGGCGGCCAGTGCCATCTTCCTTTGCGCCTTACTTCCTTTTTTACCGGCAAGATTATTTCGCCGCAGGATAAGCGTGTGAAGAACGCTGTGCGGTGATGTCAACACAAGCTTTGCTATGTAGTGCAGTCCACGGAACCCAATGCCGTTGTCTGTGAGATCGAGCATCTCAACGGAATGGTTTTCAGCAAGAGCGGTTGCAACCATGCGGGCACCTTCGGGACCCAGTGCGTTTCCCTTAAGGTCAAGTGCCCGTAGTCGGTGATACTCTCGCAAAGGACCGACAAGTCGCCAAAGTGGCAGATCCTGCCATCCGTCTACATCCGGTGTGGTGGCATCATTCTCCGGATCCATCTCCGTTGGATCCGCCACAGGCGGTTCCTCTCCCTCCGCACCGCTGTGAATTTGATTATAACGCAGACGCAGGTGACGCAGAAATTTGTTCTTCTTCAGCACCTCACTGATTGCCTCCAGTCCATTATATGTCTCGCCAAAAACAGGATCCTCTTCCTGGTACTCGGGATCTTCGTCCAGATCCGGCATCGGCATACCAAGTTGGTTGTCGGAAAGGTCGAGTGAAACAATAGCAATATTCTTCGTAAGGGCCTTGCCGATAATACCAAAGCCGTGTGCTCCCAACTCGTTGCTACTCAGGTCCAGGACTTTGATGGTCTCATTTGCATCAATAACCTTCGCCAGGAGACGCAGTGGGATGAGTGAGACACGTTCCTCCTCATTAGGCGCCCCTAGTCGATTTTTACCCAGCAACAAGACACGAACCTTCTTATCATGCATGAGCATCTCACAAATGTTGCGAAAGGCGTCCAGTTCGTATGCTGCCCGAAGACGAATAGCTTGGTTGTAATCCGTATACTCCAACTGCTGGTTTTGACACCATTTTTGTAGTTCTTCATTATTATTGAGGTCGATATCCTCCTCCTCTTCTTCCTCTTCCTCTTCGCTGTCAGTAGTCTTCTTCGGCTTTGGTGTGGGTAGCGGAAAACGCTGTTTCAACTCCTCCATCTTTGCCATCACCTCGGCAGGTGAAGCCTCTGTATGATCATTTGGCATAAGAGCGCCATTTCCAAAGTTGATGCATGTGATGTTGGCACCGTGTAACGACATTAGCTGAATGAGTCGCTTGGCTTCATCAAACCTCATCACTGGATGAGGCTGGATATGATGGATGCGGGGCACAACCGCGCGCAGCTTCTCCAAATCCTTTTCTTCGGGGATGGCAATTTGAACCTGCTGAAGGTATTGTGAAACAGCCTTGTCACCGCCGCTGATTGCCTCGAGTATCTCCTGCTCCGCTTTCTCACTGAGTAAACGTGCTTCCCACCTCTTTGGCGTGTTGGCGAGCAAAATGCTGTTCGGGTTGATCAAGGGGTTTCCCCTAACATGCGGACGTATTGTTGCGCCACGCAGAGAGCGCGCCAGTCGAGCGGCCTCAATGGCAGCGTACAGACCCTCGTCGCCAATTAACTTCGACTCGTACGACGTGGACACAAACATCGTGACCCACACGATCCCTTTTCTTCCTGTTGTTGTTCCTCCGTCTTCTCTCTCTCGCCCTTTTGGCTTACCCACTTGTTTTCTCCTCACTTCTAACTGTGATATCGTTCTCCTGGAGCACTGCGCCCACAAGGTAGCGGTTACGCATTAAAAAAAAAACATATATATGTATATGCCCGCGGCGAGCAGAAGAATTTAAAAAAAAAAAAAAAAAGGGGGTGGGGGAAGTGAATACAAAAAGCGGTGCCAACAGCAAAAAACTCTCCACCTTCTCTCAACTCGATTCTTTTCTATGCATCCCCTGGCTACTCACAAGAAAAAAAAAAAAAACATCTTTTCCTTTTTCATTTCCCCACTTCTTTTCTCTTGATCAATGTACAGTCAACGTCTCAAATACACATCTAGACAGCAATCGTAAGGCACGTATTATCCGTGAGAGTCCATACCCGACACCCTAAAAGCACAAGACTTACAAGGTGGAGTTCTTCAAGGAGAGCCACGTAACACCGGCATCCCGCACTTCCCCTGCCACACGGGAAAAGAGAAGGTTTTCATCGCATGCCAATAAATCAGGTACGCCAACGTCGTAGTAAACCGATGACTGCAGACGCCACCAGGGGTCTGGATGCATCTGCTGCAGTATATAAAGAGCCCGACGAAAACGTCGATGATGCTCCTCCTCCAAACGCCGCATCGTCTCCGTGTAGGGATCCACAACACGAGTAAAATCCTGCTTCCTCTCCGACGGGGTGGCAAAATGCAACTCCAGTCGCTGCAATTTTCGAACACGGCCATCAACAAAACATGCATCGTTTTCAACGGTGTTTGATTTCAAAATCTCGTGTGCAACCTGGCAAAGACTCATCCGTGTTGGAATTGTAGCCGTGCTCTTTTTGGTTGTGCGTGGCAAGACACACCTTTCGGCCGTCTTTGCGTTGTTGCTATCCCTTGTGTTACTCCGTTGCGCGGCCCAGCCACGAAGAAATGGTGGCTGTTGTGGTTGCAAAATCACCCACGGGTCTGTAACCAGCACCCCGCTCCTTGAACCAGTCGCGCTGCTGATGGTTGTTCCCATCACGGGACTGGTCACACTGGAGTCCTTGTCGATGCTCATCACATGTTGTCGTGCAGCGGCAACCCGCACGGAAGGCGGCTCGGTGTTGTCTGTTGTTGAATCATGGGGTGGCAATGGAAAGCAGCTGATCGTGCTCCGCTTCTTGCCCGCGCTTGCGACCCCTGTCTCACAAAGATGCGTTTGTGTCCTTTTCTTTTTTTCGCCGCTGTTGCTTGACCCCTTTGCGGCAGCGGAATTGCCGCCCCGCATGTCGCGGCTCCGTCACAGATAGAGCGACGGCGCCCTGGAAACGCAAAGGGTTAAAAAAATAATAATAATAAAATTTGGACGACACCGGCTGCCAAACAACAACAAAAAAAAAAGAAAAAAAAAGGACGCACGTCAATCCCCTCCTTTTCCGCTGCTTCTTACCGCAATGGCTCCCCTCTTCTTGCCGCCCCGCAGCGTTTCTGCCGCAGAGGAAATAAAATGAGAGAAAACACACAGTGTGGAAAGAAGGCATCACAACACATAAGACCAACTCAGCAATTAAACTCCAAAGAAGAAAAAGAAAAAAACAAACATACACACGCACATTTCTTCTGTATCAAAAAAAGGAAAAAAAAAAAGGAACGACGTGGAGACAGCAGAGCAAGAAAATTTTCTTTCCCCGCAAGGGGAAAAAAGAAAAAAAAAAAATTGCAAACGGTCACCAGCATATAAATGGGGAGCAAAACTAACTGTATACCCACAAGAGGATGTTAATGTACACCCACAGAGAAATAGAGGAAACAATAAAAAAAAAAAAGGACGATCACCAACAACAAATGCGCCCAGAGAACAAACAAGAAATTGTACTCTCGTCTGGTTCCTAAGCATTCTAAATATTCCAACATATAAATCACAGCAGAAATGTTTTTTTTTTTTTTTTTTTTTTTTTTATATCGCTTCAACCCATCTTCCTTTTGAGGGTTTCACAAAAACCGCTTATTGCCTGCTCATCCTCAGAATTCCTCTCATTTTTCAATTATTTTTCGCTTGTTTTCCGTATTTATCATTCATACTGCGCTAAAACTGCATAGAGATATCACTGCACCAACCTCTCATCGCTCGCATTTTTCTTGTCCAAGTGTCCATTTGCACTCCATTTCTTTTTTGCAAACGCAATTGTCTCGTTCTTCACGGGTGTGTCAAATGGATCCGCTGTTTCAGGCCAATCCTTAACGTAATTTTCCTGCTTCGGTAGCCACTCCAGAAACTGTGCTGCTGCCTGTGCGACGGTCTTGAGGGTGCTGGGGGCAACCTTGGTGCTGATGTAGTTAATCAACGGTGCGGGGATCCAACCGCCAGGGTCACACTGTGTGACGTAAGTGATGCAGGAACCAAGCGCACCTTTATTATCCACCCAGGGACGAATCAAATACCCCGTTATCTTTGAAATCCCACGCACCACCGAATCACTGCTAACCTTATTTACCTTCAGGTAATCAATTGGCACGTCTCGATGGGGAACAGATGTATTGAAGATGGCATACTCATTATTTCCCGAGTTAATCCACGCACGTTGATTTACAAAGTCGCGGTTTGAGACTCCAGGTACCGGGCTTTTAGCCGCGTAGTAACCTATATCGTTGTTTTCGTCAAGTTTCACAACACGAAACGCATCAATGCGGTGAGTGTCCCACAATGCACGGAACGTTGCATCCTGCAGCATATCGTACAGCGTCGCCGGAATTACATTGGGAAGGACGCCAAACACCTTAATGATGCGCATCGGCTCTCCCGCCACTTTCTTATTCCAAGAAATAAACTCGTTTTGGCGGTTGTACTGCATCTCAAAGCCGTCCAGAGAATCGGCAAATTCGCGAAACGTGAAAAAGTCCTTTTTTGTCACAAGCCGGTAGGTTCGACCCCCATGCTGAACCTCCGGGCCTGTGATGGGAAACGGCGATTGATACACCACCGACGATGAGTCCGACCCATTGGAAGTGATCTCCCCTTCGTTATTTTTCTTTGAAGACATGTCTATTCGCTCCTCTCTTCCTATTTTCTTTGCTTCTCTTTTTTTTTTTTTTCTCCCTTTTCTTTTACGTTTGGACGCGCGTAACAACCCTGTCCCGTGCTTTCCCTGCCTTTTCCCTGCGCCTGACTCTGTGTCGTAGAGACCATTCACAAAAAAAGCAAAACAAAAGAAAAAAAGAAAAAAAAACAGTTGATAAATAAAAAATCGGGCACACTTAAAAAGTGTCATTTTCTTTTTTTTTTTTTTGGTTTTTTTTTTTTTTAACTGAGCCCAATCTGGTCAGGAACCGCCTTCCATAAGCCTCTAGAGAATCAATTTTAAAAAATAGGGGCGTCAAATAGCATGTGAGTAAAAGTACAGAGACTTTATCATTCCTTTTTGTCGTTGTTGTTGTTTTTTGTTTTTTATCTGTTTTTTATTTTATTTTATTTTGCGTGTCTCGCTCTTCATTCTTTTTAAGCATCTTTTTCTTACTTTTGGGATTCCGCACTCACGCATGAGCATAGTCTATAACTCGAGCCTCGCGCATAGTTCTCCGTTCGTTGCCATTGGCCGCTTTTTTTGGTGTATGGTTGCTCCTTGCGGCGGCATTGTCATTCTTCCACTGCTGTACTTCGGTGAGAAGCCTCGTAAATCGCTCCTCAAGATCGCTTTTCTTCAGTCGCTCATGCGGAACACTCAAAGCTCGTCCATTATCAGGCACCTGAAACGCTACATGGTTCTGCCGCAACGGCATTTTGGTGTCGTTGTCCTTTCGGGAGGGAACAGCACGGTTTGGTGATGGCGAGTTTCGTGGCTTTTGAAATCGCTCTTGAATGTTTACCCGAGTTAGAAATGGCGATATACTGCCAGTGTTGGGCCTGTTGATGTGCAGAGCCTCCGTTGCGGTGTGTGAACGACCAAACTTAGCCGGCATCGTAGCTGCTTTCATAGACCTTGATGTGGATCTCGTCACGGAATTAACTTTGCTACTGCCGTTGCGGCGTTGTGGTTGCTGTGGGGGGACAATTGGCACCGTGTTCTTTGTAAATTCCACAAACTTGACTTTTTTCTCATTCACGGAGGCTGTTGAATTAAAACCTAACGACTTTTTCCGCGCCGTAGATTCACTCGATGCCGATTGACGCAACGATGTTGTGCCTTGCTGGGCAAAAAGTGTCTCCTGGCCCAAACGTGGTGGCCTCGTCGGCATCTGCGTACGGCCTTTTCCTTGACTGGCGATTCTTCCAAAGACTTTGCTGGAGGACGTTCCCTTGCTCTGCTGCTGTAATCGACGTTGGAGCGGCTGACGTGCTGCAGGATTCCTTTTTTCATGGTCCTCCACTAGGCGCTGTAGGCGTGCCTCTACGGTTTCCACAAATGAGAATGCCCGCTGCGAATCAAGAAGAGATGTGGATGGGACATTCCCTGTATGCATGGATCTCTCAAAGACGGAAATCATGTCGGTCGTAGAAAGAGAGGGGAGATTAGCAAACATGAGCGCCAGCTGAGCCTCCTCCCGAATGGCTGGAACATTAGAGGCTAACGGAAGCATGTGGCGTATAACAGAAACGCATACACTCAGCGCCTGCGCGTACTCTTCTTCACGGTTCATGATCGAGCGACATTCCTGGTGGTAGTGGGCCGCGAGGCACTCCGCCTCAGTGCAACTTTGCTGCACCCTCACTTTATCCATCAAAAGCTCAAGAAGCGGGTGTTGTTTTTCCCGCAATAGCTCCTTGCAAATTCCAGCAATGGTACGATCGGTCTCGTTCATTTTTTCTAAAAGCCGTTCCATTTTCCCTCCTTGCTCAACGGATTCCACCTCCATCTTCTCAATGGCAATTCTTAAACCTGCCACACCCACAGGCATCATTCTTTCCCCATTGGTGTCTCCAGAGGCGTTCTTTCGTCGAGTGGAAAGGAACCGGGCAAGCTTCCACTTGTGCTTCCGGAGTCGGATGTCAAGCTCACTGTTGGCTTCCTGCGCGTCCCGCATCTCTCGGTAGAGTTGCTCCTTCGCCACCGAAAAACGTTTCAGTTTCTTCTGCAGTTCCGTGTATGCGTCGGATCCTTCCGATGTCAATGTCATTCGAGTAGAGAAACGACTAGCATACTGAGTCTGTCCAGGCGATGCATCGGATATCTCCGTTCGAACGTCCGTTCCTCTTCCAACTGTCGTTGCAGGAAATAAAATGAGTGTGTCGCCCTTACTGGGTGATGCAAACTGCTCCGGAGATGGAGGATCCACGGGCGCCTGCGAGTTTTGTCGGGACCATAGGCCCCGGTTGAAGTTGGCGCCGGGACTGCACCCTCGCAAACGCTGCAGCTCCTCACGTGCCTGTGCCAATTCAAAACGAAGATCTTCGATCAGTGCCTCTTGGTTCTTGGCTACTTCCTTCGGATTAGCACGGAATTCGTGACGTGTGGCAAAGAATTGAATCTCCTTTGCCCGCATCGCAAAAAGCATGGTGTTAACGGTCTCTTCGTACATCATGCTACTTGGGCTGACGCAGAAGAGCATTAAAGTGCAACAGTTCCCCCCTAGGCAATCCCGCAACAAACGCGTTAGCTTAGAGCCTCGATAAGGAATATAATTCGACTGATTCGGGAACTTCTTGCGATGTGCCAAGGCCTGAACCACGGCGCCAAGTGCTAGAAGGGATCGGTTGATGTTTCCGCCCTCTTGTAGGCGAATGCCACTGTTAGTCGTACCAGCAGCTCGCTCTGAGCCTGCCAAATCACAGAAACGAACACGACCCACAGTACCAACGGACGCATTCACGATGTCCTTTACCTCCACTTCTACGGTGAGAATTGCATGTGAGCGGCTTGAGTGGGCATTCGCGACTGTAGACGCTACAAATCTATTTGCATGACCATTTTCCACAAATTTGGCAAATTCCTCCGCCGTCTGAGGTGTAACTTGCGTGAGACCCTTCACGATAAGGCTCTCAGGATTAGGCCCACTCTTCCCTCCGTCTTTGATACCATCATCCTGGCCAAAGTCCTGCACCTTCAACGGTGTCCGTTTTCCATGGGGATTTGACGGAACCAGCAGGTCAAAGACCTCCTCATTGTAAACTTCAAGGAAGGTGCAACGCACCGTGACTACTTTTTGATCTTCAACCTCCAGTCGCTCCCTCTCTTCCAGAATGTCCTGCATAGCCTGGTATATCACACCTGCCGCGCTCATGCTACCGCCAAACATGGTGTGTGTCTTGCCCGAACCCGTTGCACCATAAGCAAGAATAGAGCCGTTAATGCCATCAAATACACCGGCCACGATACTACGACAGGATTCATAAACCTCAATCTGTGTACTGTACGGATGGAACACCTCGTCAACTTTGAAGTACTGTGGCCGTGGTTGGGCATGACGGGCACCAAAATAGCGAGACGACGACCTATTCAAGACACAGTGAACGACAATTCCATCCTTGAGGCATTGCAAGACGTTCTTCACGGAGGGATCCGCGTGTTCTACTGTTGACAAGGGACGGACACGCACAATGACACGAACTGCACTCCGCTCCTTGTGCTCCGGCATGTTAGCAGCGACTTCCTCCTCGCCGGTGTCCTTCTTTTCAGCGGTGAACGTAACTGCCATGTCGCCCCCTGAGCCCATTTCCCTTCCCCCCTCCCGCCCACCCCCCAACTAGCGGTGCCACTAGAAATCGTTTTCTTGTTCTTCCTATTGGCTTATTTTGTCGCCGTTTGGCCCTCTCCGCCTCCTCTCCCTCCTTTCCCTTTACTCTTCCCTCTCTGTATCGCACCCCGCCACGAAAAAAGTTGTGCCTCTTCTCAAATTTTCCAAACGCTTCACTCGGGGAGGGGGTGTCGGGCGCTTATGCCGTCACCCTTCAGCGTGCGTGGAAAAAATAAATAAATAAAAGATAGAACAGGGAAAAAGAGTTGCATAAAAAAAAAATATATACCATCAGTGAGGAATACTTGCAATCCGAGTGTTATTATTATAAGTCACCCACACTAATTGACAGTAAAAATAATAATAAGAACAAAAAGAAGCCGAGTACTTCGAGATGGATGGACACACAAGAACCCACGCACACAAAAACAAAACGAAAAAAAAAATCGTTCGCGGAAATGCATTTGCACTTTACTGGCCGCAGTATTGGCGAAATTACACTCCCCGTTCACTTTTCTTCGATCTTCGCACTGACCCACCCATCAACGCATCCCCTCATTATAAACAAACACACAAACACACACACACTCACTCATAAAGTGTTACTTTGACTCTTTTGGCATCGCAGCGTGAACGCTTCTCTCAACCTCATGCATATGATTGATACGCCGAGTGATTTCTCGCAGCTCTTCTTGCTGCTGTCGATGACGCTCCTGCGACATCATGGCATTCTGGGCAAATTTCGCACCGCGGGGAATGCTAAGCACAGCAAAATCACTTTTCTTCACCACGTTGGCTGACGCGACAGCCGTATTGGCAGAAGAAGTAGAAGCGGCTACACCCGCGGTCCCCGTCTTCCCAGCAGCCGATGTGTTAGGGGGAGGGCGCCGCAGAAGCGTAAAACGCACCTCCTCCACTGTATCTTCTTTCGCTGTTTCAGCTGTGGGTAATAAAAAAGTATTTTTTGCGCACTGACGCTGGTGCTGGCGGTGCATTCGTATACCCATCACCAAATCCTGCTCCATGAGACGCTCCACGGACGTACCCCTCGCAACCGCAGCACTGGCTGCATGGCCCGTTGTTTCTCGCGGGTTTTCCGACATGAGAGCACGCAACTGGGCGTCAAGATCAGCCTCCTCAAGCCGAATTCGCAGCGCTTCTGCCGCAGCAAACCTACCGTCTTCTTCTTCCTCCTCTTCCTCCTCTTCCTCTTCCTCTTCCTCCTCACTTTCTTCCTCATCCTCCTCATCTTCATCTTCCTCCTCACTTTCTTCCTCATCCTCCTCATCTTCATCTTCCTCCCCTTCCTCATCCTCGCCTGTGGAAGTTGTATCCGATACGGTAGCAGAAAGAGCGACTGACGTGTCAACATTATCGCTGTCACTGAGACTCTCAGAGCCGCTAATGCTCCCGACACTGCTGCAGCTACCTCTGGTCATGCCTCGAACCATGGAATTTTCATCCTCATACGCGTCACTGCTACGGTCGGTGGAAACCTCATCACCCTGCTCCATATCTTCTGGCAAAAGATCCAATGACGCATGCCTTGAGTTCTCTGCATCCGCGCCTTCAGCATGGACAACTTCCGACGTGCACAGAGATAGCTCCTTTTGGTTTTCCACAGCAAAAATGCGAAAAAGTGGCTCGTCATTTTGAGAGCCTTTAATAGCCTCATAGACCTTTTCATACCATGCATTGGCTGGAAGCACAGTTTCTTCCGCCACGGACTTCGCGTACGCATGGGCTTCTTCCAGCGTCTCTGGGAGTACCAACTTTTGCGATGATTTTATCCCCAATTGAGAGTTCTTGTTTTTTGAAGTATCTTCTGCTTCTTTCTGAGACCCCTTCTCACGAGCTTTTAGCTTCTCTTGGAGCTTGTTCCATGTCTCTCGGTATCTCTCGTCACGACCTATGTTGTCTCTAAGGAGATGCAAGAGCTCCTCTAGGCAAACTTGTAGTTGCAACGGCAGTGGTTCCGCAAGACTAAATCGGTAAAGATATAACTGTGCCACAAGCTTCCGAAGTAGCTGATGTAAAGTGGCAATTCGCTCCGCGCTTCGTGATGTGCGAGATCTTGGCCTGTTGAAGTCACCCGTGCGTGAGTTAACAATCCAAGGGAGAGACGGGATACACTCCCGAAATAGGGTAACAAAACACCGCAGACGAGTGTAGTCGTTGCAGTGAGTCGTGATAAACGGAAAGTATAGCAATAGCATCAACAACATGTGGCATACAAAACGAAAAGACACCAGGCGCACACGGTAAAAGTTGGCAAGGAAAAAACAGTCAGCCAGACGCCACTGCAACGGGCGATGTGTAGTGTAAGGCTCAGAGATCATCATAGATTTCCTTGAGCTGCCACTGACGAGTTCCGGGGTTGCGGCACCAACCTCCAAGTCACGCCGCATATCCTCCGCGACCTCGTACAAAATACGCTGCACCACATGGACATGATCCGCATGGGCAAGTTCCTTTAAAATGTCCACCACAAGGGGGACAACATCCAAACTCATCTGGTGTACACTACGCAGAGCGCGAATAAGCATTTCCCTTTTCTCAACGTCATCCCATGGCATCCTCAGCAGCCCGTCCAGCACAAATTTGGTCCCATCCGGACACAAGCGCTCGTGAAGCAGAGACCGCACGTACCTCTCTAATGGGGACTCTTCCTTTTGAGCAGGAGAGGGAAATGCAACAAGCGAAGGGGTTGCCGGTTGCAAGAAAGAAAAAGCCTCGGTAACCATATGGGAACATTCTGCTTTCATTTCTTCGTTCATCATGTTCGTCTTAAGTTTCTGTATTAACTTCTCCGTCGCACGACGTGTTGCGTGGTTGCGAACCAAAAAAAGACCGCCGTGTTCAATGATGGCACAGATAGTTGCAACACTGCATGGTTGTTTCAAGTCTTCCACCGCAATATTCAAAAGGTTTAATACCCGACTCGGTGGAATAGTGCCAAACTTCATCAACTCACATAAGTAACGTCCGGTGGCCCCCACACGACGCTGCAAGAACTCATCACTCCGTGTGCTGCAAGACGTGCTCGTCTCTCTTTTCGATGTGGAAGTGGAATACTCGCGCCTCCACTGAGCCTCCAGCCTGGCACCCAAATAAATCCCAACATCATGGAAGTACTGATCAAAGATCGCGGCACAACGGGCCATGAACGGAAGCTTCTCGGGGTAGCGGAAGCGAAGAAAGTGGCGCAGCTCCAGCGTCAACAGCATTCGGCAGTTTGTAAAAAACAGCCGAGCCCCAACGACATTTTCCGACGAATTACGCAGCGGTACAATCGCCTCCCCAACAAAGCGTTCGCACCATTCATCAATCGCAACTGCGGTCGTGCACTCTCCAAGTTCCTCAAGCAACTTCAATACTTCCGCGTAGTCATTAAACAACGCCGCAGGGACGCCCAATTTCGCCAAACGAAGCCGTCGACGCTCCATTAGTTTAACGGTCTCCGTGTTGTGTTGACCTTTGCCTTCCTCCATGGTATTCGCCGCCGCTTCCACGTCCATATCGTCCTCCTCGCTGTCTCCTCCATCGCCCCCGCCAGGTGCGCCAACTCCCCCAGATCCTATTGCAGATAACCCTGATGATGTCGTTGCTCCAGTCCCCGATGCAATTGCACCGCCAATGACACTGTGCCGTGAAAACAACTCCCATTTCGCCTTTTCGGCGGTCAACGAAGACAAGAAAACCTCATCCAACAACGTCTCAATTTCTGGAACGTATTCGTAAAATATGCGTTGTTCATCGTCCCCAAAGCGGTTCAGCGTCTCTGCCCCTACAATGGGGTGGAATTTTCGGGTTACCGAAATCCGCACAGCCTCAACCTCCTCCCTTTGTTCAACAATGGACAGATCAACAGGTAACGGAGGAGAAAACCCCAGCATCCCCAACAAGTTTTCGCACACCACGTACAATCTTTCCACGTGTTCCTGAAAAAAACGAAACCGCGCTTCATCATTGTTGAAGCGCGCGGTTTTCCCCCGAAATTCGGCCTGATCATTTACAGAATGCCACCACTTCTCAATCTCCTCTTTACGTTGTTTGTAAGCTCGAAGGCATGCCTTCGTGGAAGCCAATGCAAGCCCAAAAAAGTGTCGTTTCTCTTCATCATTGCAGTAATTTTCTGCTGAAGCATTGCGAATCTCGCACAACCTCGCCCAGCTCACCTCCTCAGCCTGATGCGCCACCGCATTCTCCACTGGTCCCACCTTCTTTGTTGTGGCGTTGAATGCCAACCGAGCCCCTGCTGGACCAAGCAAAAATGGCGTCTTCCTTCCCGCTTCACTGTTCTCGTCGATTGTGAAAACCCCACAATGGCCCAGAAGATCACGGAGCCTCTCTGGACCATTTTCATCTCCCTTTTTTTCTGTAAAGAGAGATGAAAGCACTGCATTTCCCTTCCCAAGTATCTCAATGCCTACTTCACGTATCATAAGGGCTGTGATCGAAAAAACCGTGGCAACGGCTAAAGGAGAATTTGGCGTTGCCGCATTCCTCTCCGCAAGTTTTTGCAATAACTTCAATAGGTTTAACAGGGGTTTGGCATCATCAAAAAGCCCCACAAGCCACCACTCACAAAACACCCTGGCGACCAAACGTAGACGATTAAATTCATCCACCGGCGACTTGCTTAATGACGGTGTGAGACCGCCCTTAGCCGCAGCAGAAGGGGGCGCAGATAACCCTGAAGATACCACTGTCGTTCCTGTGGATACGTTTCCTTCCCCAGAAATGAAAGTTGTTGCTGTTGTTGTTGTTGTTGTTGATGCATATTCTTCAATACGCTCCACAGCCAACTTGAGCGAACCCGTATCAACAACAGACTCGATGTTCTCCTTCAACTCCTTCCGGACCAAAGCCCAAAAATCCTCGTAGCGCTGGTGTACCTCGGAGCAGACAACCGTAAACGAATGGGCATCTGCCGGCTTCATCTTTGTACCATGACAAAGCGATTGCACAACGGCATGGGCCGCCTCCGAGAGAAACTTACCAAAGCTCACAGTGTCAAGCTGCATTAAAATCGTTTTCTCCGACGCCTCCGCAGAGTAGTTTTTAAACCTCTTCGCCAATGCAGTTGCCTTTTTTACATCAAACTTTAGTCCTGAGCTCCTCGCAGCAAACACACTCCGCTGAGGCGCCGGGTCCAAATTTAGCCTCCGCAGCTTTGCCCGTTCGTAAAGATGATCTGCGGTCGAAGAAGTCATCTGCTCGCTACTTTCTATTCTCTTCTCTCTCCGTTTGTCTCTGTGTCTCTCTCTCTCTCTGTGTGTGTGTGTGTGTGTGTTTATATTACCCCTCTCCACTCGTCCTGAATAATGGGAAACACGTGTTATTTCTGATCTTAAAATAAAACAGATGCAGCAACGACAACTGCAGCAACGTGACGAAAAACAACAATAAAAGAAAAAAAAAAAAACTCATTTGCGGTTGGGGAACAACTCACTAGCCAATAAAAATAAAAATAAAAAGGGAATTAAAGATGCATCACAATAAAAGGGCAGAACCCTCCCCATCCTTTCACTCTTCGCTGCTGCATTCCTCCATAAAAATTACGACAAGAGAGAAAGAAAGAACAGAGGGTGAGCGTCTATCAAAAAATCTCTTTTTTCTCTGTGTGTATTTGCAACAGTCCCTTCCTGCCGCCCATATCCACCCCGCCACCACCCTTTTATTATTATTAATTCTCTTATTGTGGTATTTTTCTTGTCTTGCCTATCTGTCTCTTATTCTCTGAAGGAAAAAGTAAATTGCGGTCGATAGCTCCTCTTCTGTCTTCTATGGATATCTATTTGCGAGAAGCCAGCGGCATCCACACAACGCCGCCATCCACCCCTCTCTTTATTTTTCTTTTTTTCTTTTCTGTCTTTTTGCTTTAGTGTCACTTGTGGTCGTTTCTCAGTCCTCTCACTTATTCACATAAAACCACACAAAAACTACTTCCTCTTCCATCACTGCGGTGGGGCTCTCTCGTAAATCTGCCTCAGCTGCTCCTTAGCGTACTCCATGACGTTTGCCTCGTCCACATCGTCTTCGTCGTCGTTGCTATCGCCATTGTCATCTCCACCGACCATCGCCTCCCTTAGACGTTGCTTCACTTCTGACCACAGCACCTTCACGATCTCTTCTTGCGTCATGGAGCCTATGAACGCATCTAGCGCCCTATCGATGCGCTGCCGCACATTAGGAGGCAAATCAAACTTTGCTTTTGCTGCAGTGAGTACAAGATTATCATCACCAACGTCTGCTTCCGCAACACGAGCCAAAGAAGGCGTCTTATCGCCTGCCATTCCCCCTCCTCCTCCGGTAGCCGCTGCCGTTGGCGCGCGGAACGGGGCGTGCGGAAAGATATGCACCTTTGCGTCAAGAAAGATGGTATTGAGAGCCTCTGTGGCGGACTTGGAGGGAATAAAAAAGGTCGGCAACAGAACCCGCCCTGGGTACCGCTTGAGTGCCTCTGCACTGATCTGCCGTTGTCCCAGACACGCCTGCATCACGCGGCTACCCAAGTCGCACAGCAGACGTGCCGCATGACTTTCCCTGTCAACCGCCTCATCCGCCTGCTTGATGCGGGCAAGAAGCTCCACCACAAAGCTTGCGCATTGTGTACCGTGGCGGTATAGTTCTTCAAATAAAAGGTGCCAAACACGTTGATATGCAACAAAGTGGTTCTCCTTTTCACTGCTGTAGAAGGTATGATGGGCCATGAAGAAGACCAAAAAGGGAATGGTGTACTCAAGGAAGCACGTGAGGGCCTCAGGCGACGAAAGTGTCGCGCCGGAAGACCTTTGTTTGGAACGAAGGTGGTCCCCAACCTGCTGAAGGAGAAGTCGGAGGTGTTGGTATCCGCTTTTTGTTTCCTCACTCACAACGGTAAGAATCAAAAGAGCCACATAGCGCATATCGCATTGGTTATGCATGATGTGAAATGTCATCTTCTTCTGCACAGAACGGCGCACAACCATCTCTTCTTCGGCAGAAAGGACCACTGCCACCGCAAGCTCCTTGGCAATTTCAGATGATGGCCGAATCACCAGTTTCGCCAATTGCTGATTAATAGAGATACGACGGCGGCATGCCCCAACAGTGTTTGACTCCCGCTCGCTTGCAGCCTTGTAAGCAGCCAGCAGGATGTTGATCGTCGGGGCCACAGCAGTCACGATACCGTCTGCGGATTGGCACCGCGCAATTGCCGTCAAACACTTTGTCGCAGCATCTACAACCGCCCCGGCAAGCGACATGGGAAGCACATCGGCTCGCTTTGCTTTGACTTTGGCTAAATCTTCCGCGTCGGTTTTGTCACGAACCGCGGCAAGAAGGAGTTCCGTGATGCTGCGCGTCAGTGATTCGTCCTGCAGAAGCGGTGCTACGGTGCGATTCTTCGCAAAGGCTGTCAATGCCTTCAGCCATCCAACGACACTAGAAGTCGCTGGAGTCGTCGTGCTACGGATGCGAGCAAAAATGGAGTTCACCAACTGGCTGAGTGCCTTGGACTCCTGCGCACCATTGACGCCGACCAAGGCTGTAAAGCAGCGGGCGGCATGCTTGCACACCGCCCCCACCATTTCAGGCGTAGCGTCACGCAAAAGTGGCTCGTGGCCGCAAACACATAACCGACCTAACGTTGTGAAGAGGCCTTTCTTACGTGAGGATACCATATTGACAGATGCACCGCCCCCGTCATGCTCCTTGTTGTCCACACCAGTCGTTTTTGCGTAGCCGGCCCACTCAGTGAGGCAATCCAAAAGAAGAATCACCCACGAAGTCGGTATTGTCGTGTTGCTGCTTTGGCACACAAGTTCCAAAAAATCCACAAGAGGCACGGCACAGTGCGAAAGAAACGAAGGAGCGGTATGCCCAAACACAAGTAATGCACGAAGCAGACCCTCCACCTCACATCTCATCTCCGCACTCACTTTTGTCCTTGCGTCGTTGCATATACCGTTTAAGGCCTCACGCAGACGTGCAAGTAGCTCGTTGACGTGCTCCACCTCAATTGGGAGCATCATCTGCCTAGATAAACTTTCCTGCACAAACCTAAAAACATGCCCCTCCACACGACCCTTCATGGTCTTTACAAGCAGCTCCCGCTCCTTTGCGTAGTGGAAATGTCTATCGGCACAGCAGCTCAGAAACGCTTTGGAAACCTTGTCGTCCTTGGATCGAAACAGAGCATCCCACTCTCCCTTTTCCGAGTGTGTCATGGTCTGCAAAAAGTTGAGAAGTCGATGAATGTTGTTAATCATCTCCTGGCCCTCCAAGGACTTTAGATCCGTGTTCCGCACCTCAGCACGCATTTGAAAGAGACGTAAGATCGTAAGCCGTAGCTGTGCCTTCTTTGCGGCAAAGGTAAGCAACTTGTTAAAACTCTTGAAGTTCAGGTGGGAACACATTTTTGCAAATCCATCAACGTAGGTGCGCTCTCGTGTTGCGCTCTCCTTCTCAAAGTCAAATAGTGCCATACTTGCCTGTGCGGAGCGTCGACCCGTGGATGTCGATGAACTAAAAGTAGTGAACGACGCATCGCTGGGCATCACCCTCGACGGGGGAGGAAGCATGGATTCAAAACTTGACTCCAGCAGCGACACGCCCCCCTCGGCGTTCAGACACTGCATCACCACATTCGGCATCCACGGATAGAGCAGTGTCTGGTAGATGCTGCTAAGCCGCTCAACCGCAGCTTGGCGAACTTTGGGATTTTTGTCCGCGACACGCAGTCCAAGAGACTTCTCCATTCTGTCAGAAGTGACGAGCGACGGAGCGGCCGAAACGACGTCACTGTAGGCGATTACCGCCGCGCGACGCACCAGTGCATGGGGATCCACTAGGCGCATCTCCACAAAAGGAAGCAACTCACAAACACGCTCTTCCGCAAGACTTGCTGAGACATGGGTGGAGGCGCTAATGGCACTTGCTGCGAGCTGCACCATTTCAATACGCAATGTATGTTTGGGGTCGTTGAAGCGTGAGAGAAGCGTTACAAAGGCCGAGCGATACGTCGAGATGGCAGCTTCATGAGCGCCAAAAGCCATGAAAAAACCACGCAAAATCAATAAGCGGATATCCGTAATTTCATGCTCCAAGTATGGGAGAATTCCTGGGATAAGTTGGCCGACAAGATCCACGTGCAGTTCCATTAATGCCACGAGACATTCCATCGCCCGGCCAACACCACGCAGCCCATGACGCTTTTTTTCCACATCGTCGCCAGTGACTTCCGCCGCAGCCACCTCGCCCACGCCCTGTTCAACCATCTCCACAACGTAGCTGGCAATGGCGGGATGAATCACATCCAGTTTCTCCAAGAATACACGAGCAGCAATAACGGCACCAGGGGCACGAGTCTTTTTCCGTGCCACGTTTGCAAGTGGATTGCTGTCAACAGTATTTCCAGTTTTACGATTTGCTTCAGCACGACGTAGTAAAGTAGGTGAAGCAGCAGTGATCTCTTTGAGTAGTGGGGCAAGCTCATCTGATGTGATGGATCGTGTTGCGTTAAGGATGTCAATAAGAATCCTTCCCATTTCCGCTGCAGTTACTATGGTGATCGTATTGTCACTGGTGGCTGGAGCCTCGTTCCCTGTGAATGCTCCGGCAGCAGCCTGCTGAACTCCCACAAACACGCATGTTAGACGCTCCTGTACCGGCTGGCGACAGTGCGGAATTAAATATCCAAAAATGTGTGAAGCGCTTGCCCGCTCAATTAATTGCTCGCATGTTTTCAAAGGCGCCTCGCCCCGGGCCACCTGCCCAAAAGGAGAAGTCAGACAACACAAGACATCATCGGCATAGTTCGTGTCAAACGGTAGCATGTTGGCCCTCTCCTCGCCGGATGCATGGCCGCTGCTCAGTCTCACAATGTCGGACAACAGGCAGCCTGTCAGTTGCTGCACACCGTTAAGACTGCTTTTCAAGTAACGGGGGCTGAGAAGTTCCTTTATAAAGCCCGCACTGACAGCGAAGGGCGGAGTTGCCGCCCGAAGTACGCGATGACACTCAAACAGCCACGGTAAGAGCAGCGCATCCGCCTTGTTGTGAAGCACCGTTCCCGATAAAATAGCGTTGCTGTTATCACTCGTGACTTCGCGACGTGGTCGCTTGCTTGCAGACTCAGACCCAGTCGACCCTTTGCCCAGATTACTGCGCTCCCTTCGCGTGGAAGTGGAAGGCATTTTTTTTTTTTTTTCTGTTGGACTCCTTCCGTGGCAGTTTATGTGTCTTGTCCTCCACACACAAACCCTCCCCGCCTCACTGAGGCCCTCTCTCTCTCTCTGATTGCTCTACGGCGTGCACCGGCCTACAGATGAAGAAAGCGGGCATACGCAGAAAAACACCGCAAGGTAAAAAAAAAAAAAGAAGAAGACATCAATATATAAGTAAAAGTTAGGCCCCACACAAAGACACAACACCAAACGCAACATCTCGGCATTGAAATTTCTTTTTTTTTTCTTTTTTTTTTTTTATATTTTTTGCTCGCGTTGCTTTTATTTCGTTTCATCTCATCCCTAATCCGCGTCTGTATTCATGTGTAGAGGGGGTTTTCCCCTAAACATCACGTGTCCTGCGAACTCGTGGATGCAGCCCAATAGTATTGAGTCTTGCATCAACATTCCGTAAGAAGCACACCAATAAAAAAAAAAAAAAGATCATACAGGATAAATTTACACAACATAGGTGGAATTCAAAAGTTCCTGTGCCAAGCCGGGCCGTCGGTTCTGTTCGTCCATCCATCGAGCATTGATGCCAAACATAGCTGCACTTTTTTGCAACTCCTGCTTCAGTGTATCAATCTGCTGTTGCTGCTGGAGGAGCCGTGCATTGTACTCTGAACGCATAGATTTAATTTCCACATCGTCCTCCACAATGTCTTTCGGCCCCCGGTCCCCACTGGAGCATTGCAGCTGCATAGACAAAAGCGTTTCTCGCTCCCTCTGTATCTCTTGAAGCAAAAAAGCCGCCTCTTCCTGTAAAGACAAAAAATGACTTGAATTCCCTCCCTTTCCTCCCCTTGAAGGCATGAAAGCCACACCGCCCACATTGTTACCTAAGCTATCCTGTTTCCCGCTACTGTCATCGTTGTCTTCGTCGCTGTCAGCAACAATGGTGTTCCTTATTCGCTGTATACCAAGCTCCAACACCTCCAGCGCTTCGGCAGCTTCCGCGACCTCATTGCGCCACTCCGTTTCTTCTGTGCACAACGGCGCAAGCAGCTGGCCCGTAGTAACCGACTTGGGCTCATGGTTGGCGTCAAAAAACACATGCCCCTCCTCCTCAAGCATCTTCTGCCAGCGAGCCTGAGACTCCGCCAGCAATGCCTCAACAGCCACATCGTGCGACTTCTGTATCGCGGCGCGCTCTTCATCAATTACGAGCTGATCGATTGAGATGTCATCAATGAGTTTTCTTGCCGCATCGCACAACTCGCGGTAGGTGACACCAAAGTTCCACCGCATTTCTTCACGAACAGCCTCCCGTGCAATTATCCGGTACTGTGGCAGATCTGGAAGACCCGGAAAACTGGCCAACAACTGCCCCACAGAATTCTCCACAATGTTCTGAATACGCGGATTTACAAAAAAAACGGCAAACTGAGACTCAAACCCCGGAAGACCGTACATACAGAGGATATCCTCTGAGGAAGAGAGTGTGAATTGTGGTATTTTGTCCATTATCCACCCATAGAATTTGGCAACCGCTGGCAAAACCGTAGAATATGGATCTCCCTCTTTCACCAGTAGCGCGTTCGCCATCGCACCCGCATGTTCATTCTTGCCAGGTGAGACCTCAGCAGAGGCTTCTCTCCCGATTGCATTTGCCGAATTAACTTCACATACGGAATTCGGCTTCAACAATAGACTTGGATCATCCTGCAATGGAAGTTCAATCCTTTCACCGGCGTCCAGCAAACGCTTTTTTTCAAACTTTGCAACATCCCGCATATATACTGAATTCCTTCCACCTGGGAGGCGGGAAAGTAACTTCAACGGGGACACTTTGCTAAGAGCGTTGCTCCATTTATTTGTGTCCTGCTTTTGCTGTTCCCTCTCCTGATGCCGCGGAACGGTTATCAGTGGGTCGATAAAAAGGGAGTGATCCAACTCTCCCCTCAGTGAAATATTTGCTTTCCGAAGGTTAAATTCCCTCTTCTTTGGATCCGCAAAATTTGTAATAATTCGAAAAAACTGCAACATTACTTGGGCGTTTCGACAGTGAAAGCGCATCAAGTACGAAAACGGAGGGAATAAAGCGCCGGGTGCCTTATCGCTCACTGCAACGGCCTGAGTTGGCATTAAACCTTTGCCTTTTCCCTCACCACCATTGTTCATAAGTTGAAGCTGTTGCCGGCAACGAATGTACACGCTCTGCGTGTCAGTCTCCGCGTCCAAAGTGTGCTGAGTGACGATATCGATACGCGCCTTTTCGGTATTCGCTATTGGACCTGGGCTCAGTAGTGCTGCGTTGATCACCCGCCCGTCCTCAGCAGAAAAGAGATACATTTCACCATGCTGTGATACCAACAGTGCACATGGCGTCCAACCGCCCTCAGAGCCAGTGGAAGCTGAATATACGTCGAGACGCGTGGCAAAACATGGTCGCAGGGCATATGCAGTCGTCGTACCGACGCGCAATAGCCGAATAAAAAGAGGACTTAACGTAATGAGTTCGGGCTCCATCTGTCCCACAACACTGGCAAATATAAATAAAAGAAGTAAAGAAAAAGGCATGCATACATACATAAATACAAGTACGCGTGCGTGTATGCGTGCCCATTTCAAAGGATAGAAAAAAACAACAAAAAAAGTATTTGAATTTAAAAAGAACAACACGCGCAATCAAAGGCTCAAGTAAAAGAAGTTACATTGGCATACACAAACACACATCATACGGATACATGCAAAAGAAAAAAACAAACAGAAAAAAATACAAAGCCCCTAAATTTATGACTCTCACTAATCGATAAAAATCCTTCAAAGCAAAAGATCAAATAGGCCCCGCTGAAAGCCGTTGGAACACTTTGCGTTAAGCGCAGATCCTCCCTTACCGGTACCCTCCTCCCCATTGCTACCTGTGACGGATGATACCTGCCCCTCCTTTTCACGTTGCATATGTTCCTGACGCCGAAGACGCTGCTCCGTGTATGAACGCATGATTTCTTTGGCTTCTCGTTCTAACTTCTGCATCTCATTGTGCCAATGCTGAAGCATCCTCAGTTCATTCTGCTGGTCTGCAATGATTGAAAGATACCGTTCTTGCGCACGATTTCTCGCAGCAAAAACAGATTTCTGACGCTGCGATAAGCAACGCTGCGTGTGCTCTTTAGTCATCTTCACCCTTTTTTTTAGCCGACGCAGGGCAATACGAAGACACATCACTTGGTCTCTACTCATGGATTCGGCACTTGTACGTAGCGCTATTTCCTCTTCACAAGTGAAGCGTACCTGAAAAAAGCCGTCACGCGGGGAAAATGTGCCGGATGCGGGCTGCCCTCCTTCACGGTAGGTGTAGTACTGCTCCAAAGCATTTTGATATTCCGTCTTCTTTTCACCCTGTTGAGTCAACAACACCTTCACCCGCCGCTGGTACGCACGACGTCGCTGCTCTTTCTGTTCCTCCCGAAATTCTGCCTCCAAATTCTGTTGCAGGTCTTCCAACTGCTCCTGGTGCTTGGTCTGCTGTTCGCGGCGGTAGGCGATAAGAAGTTCACTATTGTACGAGTCGCGGGTGTTCCGTTGATGCTGCCTTTCCTTCTCCAAAGCCAGATGATACACCTCTTCAAACTTGCGTTGCAAGCATGAAGATAATTCATCGCGTAAGTTACATTCCTGCTCCACGGAAAGGAGAGAATTTCTCAGTTGTACCCTCTCAATTGCCTCAGCAAACTCCGTTGCCATTTTTGTGACGTTTGTCGGCGATGCCAGAAGGCCGCTGTCGATGCTGAGAGAAAGAGCCACCTTTTCATTTAAATCCCTTAAAGTCACGCGCGGCTTCCCTTCCCGCGGCCAGTTATCCTGCAACATTCCAGCCGTGGACCTCATGGCCGCCCTCCTCGCCAGCGTGTGTTCGGGGGTTCCCCTGTCGCCCTGGTCGCCCGTGGCCTCGTGATTCTTCCTGTCCGTCGCCGGAGACGGCACCGGGTGCGTGGAGAGAAGACCCCTCCGCATTCCTCGTCCCTCCCCTCCTCCCCACAGGCCGAAGGAAGCGGCGGGCTCAATCTAACAAGTAGCGCAGTAAAAAAAAAAAAAAAAAAATGGCTGAAGGAAAAAAAGAGTAATTATTTACAAAAGAATAAAATCAGGAATAAAAAGAAAGAAAAAAAAGCAAAATAAAAAGAAACACACACGCGCACACACAAAAAAAAAAAAAAGACTGCAGACAGCCAGATATTCCCCCCACCCTTTTTTGACTAATCGTGTCGTCGCCCTCCCCGTCGTCCACGCACACCAAATTTCTATCCCCTCCATCTACACATTAGAAATCACCTCTTTGCATCCCTTTTGAATTGCGTAAGAAAGAAAATAAACATCCGTAACAAAAGAAAAAAAAAAAAAGAAAAAAAAAAAGAAGGGGGGTTCTCAGGCAAAAAGTGGTGCACATCACATACAACACTCTAAATAATAATAATAATAATAATAATACTTCACTGCACCTCAATTCCGTTCACGCATACGGATAAGCAAAGAAGTCTTCCCACAGTGCGACTTGAGGTCCCTTGAAAAGACCTGTCACACCTGAAAATTTTCACAGAAACGCTTCAGGGAGCGAAGAACGAGCCGCTCCCCCTCATTTGCATCGTTATTGAACTCTGCAATTGGATTGCCAACAAACCCCAAATGTCCCCCAGAGGGCATTTCCACGTACGCCACATTCGCATTTGTGTTCGCAAGTCTCTCCCAGCGACGGATGCTTTTTTGCGTGCCACAGATGGGGTCGTCGCGGGTGGCAATGCATAAAACAGGAATTTGTGACGTTAAGAGGGAGACGAAGCAGCTACCAGCGTTATAATACTCTTCGGACGAGCGGAAGCCAAAGTGTGGAGCCGTGATGTATTGGTCAAATTGAAAAACAGAACGTAATCGGTATAAGAGCGGGCGTTCCCCTCCTTAAATAGCAGCTGGGTATCCACACCTGGTAGTCGTTCCATGACAGCCTT